ACAAGACATAAAATTTCAGATGTCTCCATCGTATTCAGAGGGGTGTACTGCAATTCGTTAGGGAGATCAACCCAACACATCTGCAGGATAACCAAAGCAAGGCTTTTTATATGCAGTGTTACACCATTTATTACACTAAGGTTTTCAAACTGTATTTTGGTGTTCAGTCACCTCAACTTCATCCCAACATTGTTTTACTTAAACTATAATAAAATTAATTTTAACAAACATGAGGAATTACAACATATGTCTAACATAAAGACTATGTAGTCCCACTAGGGCATGTTTCCACATTAAAACTGAGGCTTTTCCCTCATATCATCTCCCATCCAGGCCGTATTTATTCTCTTCTGTAATGAACATAAGGGGCTTACCTATGCCAGTGGCTCACCACCCTCACTGTAAAGGCAAATGAGTAGCAGGCAAGTAACATTTTAGGAACAACCACAACAGCTGGTCCAGCAGAAATGAGATGTTCCCACTCTTTTCTAAACCTGGCAGCAGAGTTACAGATACAAGACAGTAAGGTGGGGCTACTGTAGGGTTTCCTACAGATCAACTTCGTAAAAAACTTGCAAAGATGACTAGTTCCCAAGGTGGACAACAGGAACTAGATGCCTCAGGAAGAGTTAGCTTTTAAGTACCAAATGTCATGATAGTTTGGCACAAAACACAAAATTGAATGAGTAGGTAAAAAAGCAACAGGTGTTACTTGTTATATATCCTGCAGGAAAAAAAAGTTGTTCCAAGGTCTACAGCCAAAGTTCAGCAGCTCCATGAACCAGCTTAAAACTTTTCACAGATCAAATTAACCAGGTATAAAGTGTGGCTTATGATATCTCTGAAAATTTAATAAAATAAGTCAGTTTTGCATCAGTAATGTCATTTGAAAATTATAGCAATACATAGCACATTGCATTTGTTGGCATATTTTACTTTTTTTCAGGTTTCAAAACTCAGATATCATTTAATCACATCAAATTATATGGTTCACTAAACTAACATTCAACAGCTGTTTTGGGGGACAAAATGCTGCTGAATAATAAGGATTGTTGATGTTGATTAGAGACTTTCTGTGTTGTGTCCATACATCAACAAATCCACCATATAACTCTTGAAAACTGAAGTTCATTGTTCCACGGTCCATAACAAAAATGAGCTTCTGAGAATGTAAAATCAGAAGATTAAATGGCTTTTCTTACCCACATCTGTAATATTTTAATAGGGGGAATAGGCAACTGCTAGTTATTACTGCATGAGACAGCTTTAACATCTGCTTGAGCTTTTTACATTCATTAGCTGTTAGTTTCCATTCTGTTTGGGATTTTTTTAAATTCTGGGTTAGACTGACCATGTAATAGAATAACTTAATTTCATGCTGTGCTAGAGTTCACCCTCAATCTTCTTTCAGAAGACACTTCTTACTGAGTGTGAAGCCCCTTCAGCCCTTCTGTCTTCCAGTTCTTTTGTTGCTTCTTTTAATAGGGAAATGGTTGGATAATAACCAGTTTTATGAGGTTTTGTCAACAAGGGACAGGAAAAAATGGGGAGGAGACAGACAGGGCCTTTTCACAGTATCAAGTCTCATTGTAAAACATCACACTTAGTGAATGTCATCCTTAGTACATCTAACAGAACTGCTTCATGTATAATCTTATTTAAAGCCATACTTACATGTGAGGTAAAGGTGTGATCTTTACAGCATAACTCCTTTAATTTGCTGACATACAATTCTTTTCCCCCTTTTTGTGGCCCATTTTGACCCTATTATCAAAATGAGTAACGGACATATTTTGTACTTTGTTTACACAATATTCTAAAACAAGTGGTAGTTGGTAAATAAGGTTGAATAGCTATTTTCCATATCCTTTTCCAATTAAAACTGCTTTGCTTTGCAGTCTACAGAGTTCAAAAAAGCATCAAGAGGTGTGAATTTTAAAATTAATGATGTAGAATTTACACAGTTATTTCTGTAATAAGTGTGTAAAAATGGGTATTAACATGTAATTTATATATGCTGTGCAGAAAATTGGATGCTGTGCAGAAAATTGGACTCTGAAGCGCCAAAGTTTTGAAGCACTAAAGTTTTGGAGACTTCAGTGACCTGAAATGCCAGGTTTTGAAGTGATTAGAGGCCTACATCCAGCCCTGGAGTGTATGGGGTAAAACAAAACCAATGAACTGTCATTAAAGGAAGAACACAAAACTACCTCTACGTAAGTTCAGTTGAAGAATCTGATCCCACTCATTCTCAAGAAAAAAAATGTCTCCAGGCAAATGTGAAAAGAGAAAGCAGAATAGGTGTTTCCTCTAGCACTTTTTCCTGATCACTCTCTTTCCATTAGCTAACATTCCTCACTGTCTTTGCAACTGGAGAAAACACTATTTCCTTAGAAGCCATTAGGATGATCACCCTGGAGCAAGGGGTATAAATTAGTCCCTTAATGTCTCAAAAAATATTTTAAATTATTGTTTTAGGATTGTTTCTGCCTCTCCAAAACATCACCTTTTTGAGAACTTGGATCTTGAAATATTATTAAGTCCATTTGGAAACGGACTTAATGGAAATGGAAACATCTAAGTATGTATTTTCCTCTTGGGAAGAGCCATGTATCACAACAGCCTAAGACAGCAGTGCAACACCATCCTCTGGGCAGTTGCAGAGCAGTTGGATTCTGCAAGTTATTGCCATTTGTAATTTGTTTATTCGAAAACCATCCCATACAAATCATATTGATGGAACAATACTCATTGCAAGTCTTATGAAATGAGTATTTGAGCTGCAGTTCTTAGGTACAGAACAGAGGACTCAGATCTCTTATTACTCAAATCCCCTTCTGTAAAGTTTTCCTGCAGAATTTAAAGCTTACACAAAAGTTCACGTGTTTGTGGTGCAAAATACTCTTAATTTGGTGTGTTTCTTGAATTTAAATGTTAAGTTTACTTACCATAGAAAACTGAGCCTTAGAATGGAAGAAACTGAAACATATCCCTTCATTGTCTCTCATGCACTGCAGATCTGGAAAACTACCTCAGCAGCTATTTTGGCACTCTAGAAACAAACTTAGCAAACAAGGGCTTCTGTGCTGAGGATGTGAAATTCATGCCTATTTGTTTGAGGTTGTGTACTATGGATAACCTCTTATCTAAGTCCTACCGACTAAATGTTCCTTCATGGTGTTAATGTATCTTCTAGCTTAGTTTCAAAAACACCCAGGTTTGTATGCTCCAAGAGTGCTCTGCAACAGAAACCAAAACTTAGCAAGTGGATAAAACTCAAAATGCTGGGGGTTTTACTCAAACTTAAATACAGAAGCAGGTTCAGTCCCAGTTTCTCTATTTGAATGGACCAGAATTACATGCTTGCTGCATGAAACCAATATAGTGGGATACACAATTCATTAAATTGGAATTTCAGAAACCACACCATAGACTAAAGCAAGAATCTGAGAGACAGATTGACAGATCACACAACAGAAACCTTGTCATTTTGTAAAATTTTGTAAAAAACAGTAAAATTCCCCTCAAAGCCAATTTAACAGCACAAAAATTCTTGTACTTCTCAGTACAGAAAGTAAGAAGTGTGTTTCTTAGAAGTATGATATTTTATAAATTTAATTTCTGATCTAAATAAGTCTCTGGCTCAAGAAAAGTGGAAAAATTATGAAAGATAGTTGGGCTTCAGTTCTGTTTTCAGTCCATCTTCCCCCCACGCATCCCCTCCCTTTCAGCTGCCTCTGATGTTCAATGTGGTTTGTCTAAGATAAGAACACCAGGTGGGTATTGCAGAGGGGACTTCATGCTTGCACAATTAATGCATTCCAGAGATGGGGGAGCATATCAGCCTACTAAAGGGTATGAAGTGCTGCTGGAGACTGGGACAACTGGGAAACTGGTCTCCCAAGATAGCAGGCAATTCCAGTAAAGGAAATTCTAATTACAATTTTTAAAAAATCATTTGTTCCCAACTAGAAGAATTGAACATTGTAAGAACAGGGAGGCTGATCATCTCCATTAAGAAGTTAAAATGAAAACCTGTATCAATCTAACCAAATTGGATCTGTTTCCAGCAGGGAACTGAGCCAAATTAGCAGATCTTTCCAAACTAAATTTCTCTGTAACTTTAGTAATGTAGCAATTTGTATTAAAATAAATAAATAAATAAATAAATAAATAAATAAATAAATAAATAAAACTACAACAAACAAAACAAAACAAAAAAACCCACAGCAAAGATTAAAGTTGTCTCAGTGAGTCATGAACACACACTGCAAACTGCAGAAGCTCCACAGCTGGACTGAGATGAGTGTCCTACACACTTGTTCTTGCTGCACTGCTTTGCCATGACATGATCAGATTTTCATAGCCTGCTTGAGTCATGTAGAGCAAACACCTCTTGGGTGATAATAAGAAGCTAAAGAGAGAGTAGAGAGAGGAAAATCTTCAAAGCAGCAGTCGGATCCACAGGACATAGGCTAGATCTTTACCCTCTGTCACACTACAAACCTACAGGCTCTGTGTATATGCTTCCCTCTTTCCATGAAGAGGGAAGACAGGTTACTTCATGAGCCAATGCCAGGCTCTAGCCTCTGGAAGAGACCTCCAGTCTGGATTTCACCAAAGCTGCATTTCAGTGATATTACTGAACAGACTGTCAGATGGCTAAAATTATTCACTTACCACTCACTTTGAAGGCAGAAATTGGTATCATCACAGCAATCAACAGTCTTGTAGAACTAAAAAACAACTAAAGCAAATTATATGGTACCTGGTTCAAATAGGCTTCATCTCACACCTCAACCACTGGAAAATTAACTGCTCAGATCAGTCAGTTATTGTAGCTTTTCGTCTCTCTTTGTTAATCTCAAAAAAGCAATACATATCTTGTTCAATCACTCTCAGTTGGCTAACCTTTTTCATTTACTAGAAAAGCTAAGTGAAGTTGCTACAGTCAGGTGACAGTCATACCTAGAACAAAAAAATGCAAAGAATCAATGCAATTAAAGAAGAAAAAAGAAAAAATATTCTTTTATTATGATTTCCATTCACTACAGCCTCCAGTCTCAACATCGTTTGGTGGTAGCTTGATTCTCTTAACTTTCAAAAGTAATCTTGGACTAGTTAACTACTCAGGAAAATCAACAGAAGAAAACATAGACAGTGATTAACAGAGAAAAATAACTGACTTTTTATTAGTACTTCAACAATTATCTAGTGTTCCATGGTAAAGTACATATTAGAGAGAACCCTGGTACTACTGATCCAAAGTAACAGAATGGGGTTTTTCTCTGAAATGAAAAGTGTTCCCCCTCCCATTTGCTATTCTTTAAAGAAAAGCTAGATCTTTTATTAGCTACCTATGAGCATACCTATAATATATATATATATACCTATAATATATATATATATACCTATAATGCATACTGCAGCCAGATACCTCAAGTTTGACAAGACAAAAATTAATGCTTTAGCACATCACATCCCTTCAAATCCCCTCTTTCTCTTTCGCTTGGTGGGGAGGGAGAGAGATGGAGAATTAATTCTTTGTCTTCCCTCTTCTCCTATTTCCCTCCTATATTTTACAGACCTGAAGGAAAGGTTGAATACAATTAAATTGGAGGCCATACGTGCTACATTCAAATTTAGCTGACAAAGTGTTTTAAATTAAAATTCAATTACAAGCCTTTTCCTGCAGTATATAACATATTAGTGCTTTTATGATTATAATTTTTATGTCAAATCATAGAAAAGAGATCTGCAAAAATGATAGATCTGCTATGTACTGTTACATTTTTAATGTATTACCTACTGAAAGTCTGTGTTTTAAGTGATCTTCACATAAAAACAGAGGTAGCCAAGAAGAAATGCTGTATATCATATGAGGTCTCTATGCATGGTGTAGTAAAAAAATGTTGTTCTCTCAACCAAGATGGATCAGTTTCAAGACTTTCTTCATAATAATTTGTCTTGTTGTCTTAGGTTGCAATGCAAGATAAAACCAAAAATATGTATTCTATAACCATCTGTTAAAACCAGGTAAGGCAGTGCTCTTTATCTCTTCCACAACCCATCCTCCCCCCCAAAAATTATTTTCTGTTAATAAGCCATTGAGTCTCACTGCATGACTGATAAAATTACATCATCCCATTGTGAGATGCTCCATCCAGGAGGAGGAGCCAAGCATTTCCTACCTAAATATAATCTAAAACTTAGAACACCACAAGCAGGCTTTTCCCACTAAATTCCCGGAACAAAACCAAACCCTTCTACACCACCACTAGACCTTCAGAAAAAACCTACACCTCTCTACAGGACCACTGCTTCAACTGAACCACTTCTGTCACTCCAGGAGGACTGCAGCCACCATTTAATTGGACTGCTACCAACACCCTGGCTAACAGGGTGTCAGATTGCATTCTGAATCTGTCAGTAGTTTTTGTAATTCTCATTTAAGATCTCCCACTGGTTTGCTTTCAAGCTAGCACATATTTTGGTGCCCAATATGGGGCTCAAGGGCATCGAGAGAAAAAAGGTGAAAAAGGAATAACAGTTCTTCAGTAACCTAATTTTTTTTTGTGCTGGGTATAGAAACCTCGTTAGGTGGCACCATCTAGTTTAGCTTAGTCTGGCTCAAGTGGCACGTGGTTGTGGCTGTACTCCCATTTGCAGGTCCTATTCTAAACATGGGTCCTATAACTAAGGCTACTGTGGCTGTTATCCAGTTTGCTTCATATGTTAATAACGTGAGGAATTAATGGATTTTTAACTTCCTCTGGAAGGCAGGCACATGAATTCAGAGCTATTACACACTAACTGTATGTTTTTGGGGTTACTTGGGAGGATAGTCTGTAAGGATAGTGGCAGAAGGCAATTTTCCTCAATGAATTACAGCTGAGACAACTGTGCCTGTCCAATGAGGATGGGTGTTATAAAATAGTGGGTTAGCTGGTTGAGAGTTAGCTGGAGCTTGAGAACCAGAATCTGCTGCAATTTGAGATGGAGTCTGCTGGCTGTGCTGTGAGGAGAAAGGGACATGTGGTTGTGCAAGGGACAGACAGAGTTAGGCAGCTGGGTAAGGGATACCAGCCAGCAGAAGGAAGAAGGAAACTTGCAGAGACAAGGAGTCAGTGATGTGTGGAGCTGCCTGTGAGGAAAGGAGTCAGTATTATGCAGAGTTGCCTGAGAGAAGGCAGGAAAAGTTTTTAATAAGAGACTGGTGATGGTACCAGTCATGTTCGTCTTGACATAATTGCAACAACTATGAGGAAATGACACCAGGAGAAGTTTTCTCCCAGCCTTTCACCCAGCTCTTTGGGTCTACCCCATCAATTTTCAAAGGGTTCAAATCTTCTCTAAATGTTAATGATATCATACAGTGGCTGGTGCTGCTGATATGCCTGTTCTTTTTGGCGTTCAGAGATAAAGGGAGATTGACTTGCACAACAACCCTGATACCTACCCCAGAGAATAGGGATGCTATCCCAGAACCTGACATGGCCCCAGAAACTAGGGATGCTGCCCCAGAGCCAGACCCTGCCCTACAACCTACCTCAGAAATGAACCACCCAGATTGGTGGGTGGGCCAGGTGCTGAAGGAATACACTTCCTCAGCTGGTGGGAAACCCTCCCCCTTCCTTGGACAGGGAGAGTCTGATAGTGCGGCAGTTGAACCCACAGATTTTACATCTGTCCAGGTTCCAGCTGAACCACAAGGGCAGTCATAGCCAACAGAAGTTTCCCCTGAGCAAACAAGTCTAAGATGAAATCAGAGCACGCAGTTAATAATGATGGGAAACAAGGATGCTCACAACCCACAGGGGAGCCAGGGGTTGAGATCATCACTGAGTCCCTGTCATATGAAAGTCTTTGTAATCTGCTAAAAGATACTGTGCAACGGAGGCATGAAGCCTATACAACCTGGTTACTTCGGGTCTGTGACCTTATGGGTACAGGCGTGCAACTGGATGGTGGTGAAGGCTAGGAATTTGGGACACTTGACCCAAGATTCAAGTGTAGATCAGGTGTTCGTAAAGGAGCCAGGGTCCCTTTCCCTCTGGGAGCAGCTTTTAACAAGTGGAAGAGAGAGGCTTGTCCACAGAGAGAGAATGCAGGAGCACCATCATAGAATGTGCTGGAAGACCCTTGAGGAAGGGATCCAACAGCTGAGAGAAGCGGCAGTACTGGAGGTACTCCTTGGGAGGGGCAGACAGTGTGAAAATGACCCTGACAAGGTCAGGTGTACAGGGCAGATGTTGTGGACCCTGGCAAATCTAGAGCCATCTCAATATAAGACTTTCATTGCAATGATTAATTTCAAGGACAGCCAAAAGACAATGGATTCTGTTGCCAACAGGCTCAGAAGTTATGAGAATATGATCAATGGACCGAAGCAGGCTCACGTCTCTGCTGTGGTTAAGGAACTCCAAGAGGAGTTTAAAGAGGAGATGAGGGAGGAGGTGAGGAAGATCAGTGCAGCACCAGTGCGAGTCACCAGCCCCAAAGTCAGAGCCCAATGTCCCCCAGCTAGGGAGAGAGGGTGAACTCCACGAGCTGATCTGTAGTTCTTTTTGCGTGACCATGGGGAAGACATGAGAAGGTGGGATGGGAAACCTACTTCTGTCCTGGCACCACAGGTGCGTCAACTCAGGGAGGGAAACACTAACCAAGGGAGTTCTACTAAAGTAAAAGTAGCCTCAGTTTCACATACCGAGGAGCTGACAGGTATTACCTGAGCTGCCAGGTAATACAGAAGGGAGGTTGATCTGCCAGATCCCCTTGAAGGAACCTCTATGCATGCCCAAGAAAGAAATGATAACCAGGGCTAGAGGAACCCTGCCTCTAGTCAGGGAGAGGTATGGGAAAACCTTGTTTTTTGGACTGTGTGGATCCAACGGCCTGGCACATTAGAGCCACAGAAATATGAGGCATTAGTTGATATAGGTTCACAATGTACCCTAACACCATCAGGATATGTGGGGACAGAACCTGTTTACATTGCTAGGGTGATGGAGGGATAGCAGCAATTGACTCTGTAGGAAGCTGAGGTGAGCCTAACTGGGAAGGAGTGGCAGAAACATCCAATTGTGACTGGTCCAGAGGCACCATGTATTCTACGCATAGAATTCCTCAGAAACAGCTCTTAAAAAGACCCAAAGGGACTCGGTGGGGTTTTGGAATAGCTGCTGTAGAGGCAGAGGGCACTAAGCAGTTGAATACCTTGCCTGGACTATCAGAAAACCCATGTGCAGTAGGACTCCTGAAGGGGGAAGAGCAACAGGTACCAGTTGCTACCTTGACAGCGCACCACCGGTAGTACCGGATGAATTGAGATGCCATGATCCCCATACACAAGATGATCCATGAGCTGGAGAGCCAAGGGGTGGTCAGCAAGGCCCATTCACCCTTCAACAGCCCCATCTGGCCTGTGCACAAGTCTGAAGGGGAATGGAGACTGACTGTGGACTATCGTGCATTGAATGAGGTGACTCCACCGCTGAGCGCTGCTGTGCCGGACATGCTGGAACTGCAGTACGAGCTGGAGTCCAAGGCAGCAAAGTGGTACGCCACCATTGACACTGCCAATGCATTTTTCTCCATTCCTCTGGCAGCAGAGTGCAGGCCTCAGTTTGCTTTCACCTGGAGGTGCATGCAATACACCTGGAATCAACTGCCCCAGGGGAGGAAGCACAGTCCCACCATCTGTCATAGACTGATCCAGGCTGCACTGGAAAAAGATGAAGCTCCAGAACATCTGCAATATATCAATAACATCATTGTGTGGGGGAACACGACAACAGAAGTACTTAAGAGAGAAGATTATCCAGATTCTGCTAGGAACTGGCTTCACCATCAAGAAGAGCAAAGTCAAAAGACCTGCCCGAAAAATCCAGTTCCTGGGAGTAAAGTGGCAAGACGGACAGTGCCAGATTCCCACTGAGGTCATCAATAAGATCACTGCAATGTGTCCACAGACCAGCAAGAAGGAAACACAAGCTTTCCTGGCTGTCATAGGTTTTTGGAGGATGCCCATTCCCGAGTACAGCCAGATTGTGAGCCCTCTTTACCTGGTCACCCGCAAGAAGAACAATTTCCACTGGGGCCCTGAACAGCAACAGGACCAAGCAGGATATCGCCCATGCAGTAGCCCTTGGCCCAGTCAGGACAGGACCAGAGGTAAGGAATGTGCTTTACTCTGCAGCTGGGAACAAGGGTTTGCACTGGAGCCTTTGGCAGAAGGTGCCTGGTGAGACTTGAGGCCGACCACGGGGATTCTGGAGCTGAAGTTACAGAGAGTCCGAGGCCAACTACACTCCAACGGAGAGGGAGATCTTGGCGCCTATGAAGGGGTTCAAGCTGCCTTGGAGGTGGTTGGCACAGAAACACAACTCCTCCTGGCACCCCGACTGCCAGTGCTGGGCTGGATGTTTAAAGGAAAGGTTCCCTTGACCCACCATGCTACCTACGCCACATGGAGCAAGTGGATTGCCCTCATCACACAGCATGCCTGTATTAGAAACCCAAATCACCCTGGGATTTTGGAAGCAATTACAAATTTATCGGAAAGTGAAAACTTTAGTCTCACTGACAAAAAAGAACAAAACCAAGCAACATGGGCTGGAGAAGCTCTACACTACAACCAACTACCTGAAGAAGAAACATGCTATGCTCTTTTCACTGACAGTTCCTGTCACATCGTGGGGATGAACCGGAAGTGGAAAGCAGCCGTATGGAGCCCCACACGACAGGTTGCACAAGCTACCGAAGGAGAAGGTGGATCGAGTCAACTTGCTGAACTCAAAGCTGTTCAGCTGGCCCTGGACATTGCTGAAAGAGAGAAGTGGCCAAAGCTCTACTTTTATACCAGTTCATAGATGGTAGCCAATAGTGTGTGGGGTTGAGCCAACTAACAGTGTAAGAAAAAGCCAATCTGGGCTGCTGATGAGTGGAAGGACCTTGCCACTTGAGTAGAGAAGAAGCCTGTGAAAGTCTGTAATGTGGATACCCATGTCCCCAAGAGTCGGGCTAATGAGGAACACCGACACAATGAGCAGGTAGACCAGGCTGCACAGATAGAGGTGTTGAAGATAGACCTAGATTGGCAACACAAAGGAAAGTTATTCCTGGCTTGATGGGCCCATGATGCCTCAGGTCATCATGGCAGAGATGCCACCTATAAGTGGGCACGAGACCGAGGGGTGGATCTAACCATGGACAGTATTTCTCAAGTTATCCATGACTGTGAGACGTGCGCTGCCATCAAGCAAGCCAAGCGGGTGAAGCCTCTCTGGTATGGGGGGTGATGGGCCAAATATAAGTATGGAGAGGCCTGGCAGATTGACTACATCAGCCTGCCTCAAACTTGCCAGGGCAAGCGCTATGTACTGACCATGGTGGAAGCCACCACTGGATGGTTGGAAACCTACCCTGTGTCTCACTCTACTGCTCAGAACACCATCCTGGGCCTGGAAAAGCAAGTCCTGTGAAGACATAGCACTCCTAAGAAAATCAAGTTGGATAATGGGACTTGTTTCAAGAACAGCCCTATAAACACCTGGGCCAGAGAACAAGGGCATTTAGTGAGCATACCATATCCCTTATCATGCACCTGCCAGAAAAGCTGAATGGTGCAGACCACTTAAAACTACCCTGAAAGCCCTTAGCAGGGAGATCTTCAAAAATTAGGAAAAGAACTTAGCAAAAGCCACCTGAATGGTCAACACCTGAAAGTCATCAATCCAGTTACTCCTACCAGTCTGAACCCTTGCACACAATAAATAAAGTCCCTGTAGTACACATGAAAGGTATTTTGGGAATGGCTGTTTGGATTAGTCCCACCTCAGACAAGGGTAAACCCATCTGTGGGATTGTTTTTGCTCAAGAACCTGGTCACACTTGGTGGGTAATGCAGACAGACGAAAAAAAAACATTGTGTACAACAGGGTAACCTAATCTCAAGTGAGAACTGTGTGTAAGGTTTCACTGTGTATAAATATATAAGGTAGGGTTTAAAGAGAGTATTGATTTAGGTATAATGCAGATAGTAATAGAATAAGGGGGGTAATGTCTTAGGTTGCAATGCAAGATAAAACCAAAAATATGTATTCTATAACCATCTGTTAAAAACAGGTAAGGCAGTGCTCTTTATCTCTTCCACAACCCATCCTCCCCCCCAAAAATTATTTTCTGTTAATAAGCCATTGAGTCTCACTGCATGACTGATAAAATTACATCATCCCATTGTGAGATGCTCCATCCAGGAGGAGGAGCCAAGCATTTCCTACCTAAATATAATCTAAAACTTAGAACACCACAAGCAGGCTTTTCCCACTAAATTCCCGGAACAAAACCAAACCCTTCTACACCACCACTAGACCTTCAGAAAAAACCTACACCTCTCTACAGGACCACTGCTTCAACTGAACCACTTCTGTCACTCCAGGAGGACTGCAGCCACCATTTAATTGGACTGCTACCAACACCCTGGCTAACAGGGTGTCAGGTTGTCTTCTGAGTGTTAGTGTTTCTTGTACTACTGCATTTTTTTCAATTTTCCTGTTAAATTGTAATTCTGATTTAAGATCTCCCACTGGTTTGCTTTCAAACCAGCACACTTGTCTAAAAATGAATGCTTTCTAACACAAGGACAGTGATTTCTCTTTTGTCTTTGTCACCATGGACACTTGCTACACCATTATGGAAATATGAAAAATCCATGCTATTAGGCAATTATTCAAATTTCTCTCAAGTATACTTAATAGAATAAAAATGAAACAGCAATGACAAATAATGTCATCATTTAATTTTAATGGACTTTCATTAGTAAATTTGCAGATGATACTAATCTGGGAGCATGTGTCAATCTATTGGAAGGTAGGAGGGCTCTGCAGAGACACCTGGAATGGTTGGATGGATGGGCAGAGTCCAGTAAGATGAAGTTTACTAAGGCCAAGTGCTGAGTCCTGCATTTTGGCCACAATAATCCCGTTTTACAGGCTGGGGACAGTGTGGCTGGACAGTGCCCAGGCAGAAAGGGACCCGGGGGTACTGGCTGACAGCCAATTGAACATGAGCCAGCAGTGTGCCCTGGTGGCCAAGAAGGCCAATGACTCCTAGCCTGTATCAGGAATAGTGTGGCCAGCAGGAGCAGGGAGGTCATCCTTCCCCTGTACGTGGCTCTGGTGAGGCCACACCTTGAGTGCTGCGTCCAGTTCTGTCCCCTCAGTTTGGGAAGGACGTTGAGACACTTGAGCGCGTCCAAAGGAAGGCAAGAAGGCTGGTGAGCCCCATACAGCCTGGTCATGAGAAATTCCAGGGATGGGGAATCCACAACTTCTCTGGGCAACTTGTTCCAGAGCCTCACCACACTCACAAAAAAGAATTTAACATCTAATCTAAACCTGTCCTCTGTTAGTTTGAAGCCATTCCCCTTTGTCCTGTCACTACACGCCCATGTGAACCCACCCTCTTGTGGGCCCCTTTTAGGTACAGGAAGGTGCTACAAGGTGTCACTGACGCCTTCTCTTCTCCCAGCTGAGCAGTCCCAGCTCTTTCAGCCTGTGCCCATAGGAGAGATGTTCAGGCCCTGTGGTCAGCTTAGTGGCCTCCTCTGGACAGGTCAACATCTTTCTTGTGCTAGGGGCCCCAGAGCTGAAAACACAATCCAGGTGAGATCCCACAGGAGCCGAATAGAGAGGCAGAGTTCAAACGTGTTTTTTTAAGAATCACAAGAATATTAATTCAAAAAACATCACTAAAACATCACTAAGCATCACTACTACCAAAGCAGTAAATACAATTAAAAGTCTAAGTGAAAAACTGAAACTTTGTGGTCCAAATTCTGTGAATAGATCAGGTATGTAAGATGTTCTGCCTGTGCAGAACTGGACCATATTTTTTTTCAGACACTTTAAAAGGCAATGACTGGAAGAGAGGGAGAATTTAGCAGCTGCTTAAAAAAGGCAAGCAGTGCAAGTAAATGTACATTTCCTTGTCAGACTTGAAGATTACTTGGCAAGTGCCTGATATCCTGTGTTTCATTTAAAATAAGCATGCACCATAAAAAAGTGGAACTATATTTTAAAGAGAAGTTCTTTCCTAAAATGTTCCTGATTCACAGCATCCATACAATCCCCAAAAGAAAAAGAACATTATGCTTAAAACTCAAATCATGTAAGCATCTATTTCAGAGAATGTCCTGAGTTTGAAGGGACATGCAAGGATTTGCTTCCGCTTGCATCTGTTTGAAATTTATTTTTAAATTTTGATGAAATCAACAGTTGCATTGTCCATACCAGCCAAAAAACAGCTTTGATGATAAGACTGAATACAGTTTTGGCACAGTATTTTTTGGTGAATTTCCATGACAGAAGTACAGACAATAAGGAGGAAGAAGTCAGTAACTACTTAAAGATGGCCATTAGTTATTAGTTCCTTCTTGTATCAGCACAATGTTGACCTTAAAAAGAACATTTTTATTCTTTTATGCATTGTCTCATTGGAGATTTAGTTTGAAAGGCTAATCTGCCCATTTTTTTTATAAAAGTTTATATCCCCTGACCAAACTACATCTCCTAGGAGTCAATGCAGTCTTCTCCAAAAGCCAGCTGCCTTATGACAGTGAGAGATTCTTTCACCTCTCATTTTCTGTGGCCTCTGTGACAAAAATCTAGTTGGAAATATGAGCAGAATATAAATCAGTATTTAGCTTTGGTACGATTCCCTGACTTTGGCCTGCAGGGCATCACAGGTCTTCTTAGCATCTCCCAACAACATGGCAGTATTGGGCTTGTAGAAGATAGGATTGTCCACCGCTGCATAACCAACTCCCAGAGATCTCTTCATAACAATTACCTGCACATAAAGAATTCATGTTTGAAACAGCATAGCACAGCTACCACCCTTCCTCAAAAAAAGGTAACACAAAACCAGCCTCCAGAAATAAAGAGAAGCCTCTGACCAAAACAGGGTGTTCACAGCAGTGAAACTGTATTTCAAATTATATAGCCGATTAATTGATACCCAGCCCAATTTCAGAAACATTTTGTTGTTAAAAGCAATATTATATTTCAGATTAAGAGACTGTGGACATTACACATGCATTACTTTATTCCATGTATTAAAGTCAAAGCAAGATGTCCACTGATGACCATAACATCAAAGGGTTTTGAGACTTTAATTTCGAAGTGTTCAATTCCCTGATAGCAACAAAATTCAGATGTGTTCGCATAAATACTTGGTGGAACAGTCTCTTTACTACTGATCTGTACTACTTCACACATGAGACATTAAAAAAAAAAAAAAAACAGCTAGTTTTAGCTATTAAGTGTCAAATTAGTTAACCATGGCACCTTCAGCAGAGAAACTGAGAAGCTTTACCTTAACTCTGTCCGTGTTTATTTCTCAAATTGCAATATATAGCTGCACACACTGCTGATAAATGTATATGTCTATGACTGAGTACTTGAACAGGTAACCCACAGAACAACTGAGGCCATGACTGCATTCAGGACAACGTATCAAAGATTTCACACCAAGGAAACACAAATATGTGTACTTTAGATCAGAGCAAAACTGTTAAGGTAACTAAACTGTTGGTTCAACTTGGACAGTCTAAATGCTCTACTTGACTCAGCCAAGAATTTTTTTGGGGTTTTGTTTGGTTTTTTTTGGGGGGGGATATTAGTTGTTTTTCAATTATTATTTTTAACTTTATTCAAGCATATTATCCATTCTTTTGAATAAGATATTTACTTTTAAGGTATTTGAATAAGCTATTTCCACTTCAGTATTAAAGTTGTCTTAACTTTAATAAACTTAACAAAACAGGTATTTGTACAGAAATGTTTCAGGGCTGCAGATGCAAGCAGACCACCATTTATTCTAATCACTTTCTAGTAGAAGCACTCTAATTGATCTTTTCTATTGTAGTTGTCATTCATCTCACTAAAGCACTTGATGATGATTATAAAATCATGAACAGTCCATTACACTTGCAAAGAACTGATCATTTTGTTGGACAACTTGGAGAAAAGCTTCTTGTGGAAACCACAATAGTGGAAGAATCTTATTAGCTTATCCTATAAACCATGTTTTTAAAAGCTTGCTAAAGGTAGGTGATAAGTCTGTTAATCTCACCTGTTTGGACTTCCAGACCTCAAGAACTGGCATTCCAGCTATGATAGAGTTAGGATCTTCCTGAGCTGCTGAATTAACTGTATCATTTGCACCAATCACAAGGACCAAGTCAGTTTCTGAAGCAAGACAAAGAAAATAACACTGATAAAAAATTATCTGAAATCAGAACACTGAGGCTGATGCGCATTCTAGGCAGAAGAACCCCTAATATTAAGCATGCACACAAGTATTTTAACAACTTCTCAGGCAAATTATATGTAAGTTAAAATGTGCTGCCAGCTACTTCTAACAAACTGCACACATCTACAACCCAGTTCCAAGGGACTCATTAGACCACCCTGCCACACAAAATTTCAATCCTCTTGATACCTAAATGTGCTTGAATACACACATAGTATCATCACTTTCAATTTTTTGCCCATCTTTTCTTTTGAATATTCTTCTGAAAAACCGTTTACCAGCAACTTTCTGCCTTTTAAATAAAGATGTAAGTAAAGCAAGAAGTTGCCAGTACAGTGCTGTACACATTTGCAGTACATGACAGGGTCAAGTCAACCTAGTTATTGTTATTAAAGAAGTAACAATAACTCTCCTCTGTGGGGACTGGGCAGTAGCAGACATAATTAAGATACAGCATTTGCCATTTACGTGACAGATACAAGTAATTTTAAAAAAAAGCTCCCCCCACCTTTTCCCCAAAGAAGACCTTTAGTAGTCTACAAAGAGAAACTGAATGGCTTGACTTCTTGACTTTCTGTTGTTGAAAATTCCTGTGCAGTGCAAAAACAGACTCAAATAAATCATCTAATCTACTGGAGACTTATGGCTCATGTGCTAACCTGGGAAGTCTTCATTGATTTCATCCATTTCCAGTACAATATCATAGGGAACGCCAGCCTCTGCCAGCAGCACATTCAGCTGACCAGGCATACGGCCAGCCACAGGGTGAATACCAAACCTAAAAGGGAAGAAACCACTTTAGTAAGTTTGGACCGCTGTGTTTTATACATTAAAATTGTCACCTATGACTTACAAGGCTGAGAAGTTCTTAAGTATAATGGCAATTAATAAAATGAAACTGTTGAACTTTAACAGTTCACCTTCCAAGCAGTACCATATGTCAAGCCTTGTGACAGATGCTTTTGGACTTTTACAAATGCACCTTTTAACTCAAAAACTACCATCCACATTAATATGTTTTTCAGGTCCCTTACATCACTGAAAACACCACAGACTAAATAAAATTGCCATGAAAAAGGTAAGAGACCATGCTACCTTTCTGAAGCAAAACTACTCCAAGACTTAGAGATGCCCTTGGCAAATGACTTTATTCACTCAGGTATGTCTAGAGTATGTATAAGAAACACTTGTATGAACACTTTCAATCCAACAGAAAAATTAACAGGCAATCTACTTCAAGCACAAGAGAATGCCTTGCTGAATTAGGTTAATGTGCCACTTTCTTCTCGAGATTGACCTTAGGAGGAAATTAAAAGGGGACAAAAAAAGGATGGGGAGTGAAAAGGTAGAGAGCTAAGAAATTGTAACAGTTTAAGCATAAACATTTTTAAAAATGTTTTCAGAACAGCTGAAAAACAACTTAGAGAAAATACACTGCTCATGAGTTACTAAAACTTCAGACAGACCAACAGGGTGGCACCTGGGGTGCTCAGGCATGCATGCAGTTCCCTAAGAGTAAAAACCTGAAAAAGCCAGAATGAAGATATTAAACTGGCTTAGCTGCAACTACCAAAGATGTATTTGTTTAGAAGCAAATCTGTTTTCTGTTGGTACTCTTCTGATCTTCTACTGGTCCTTACAAGCAGGGCATATCCATGCCCAGTGTCCTGTGCACTTTCTGTCTTTCCATCTCCGAAGCTATCACGAGATGGAATGCTGACTCACGCACACCAGAAGTGCCTATGATTAATATTGTATGGGGCTGAAGATAAATGTTTAACTCAGAAGCCTACATATACTTTGGAAGAGAAGGAAAATAGTCAAGAAATAACTTGGATTTTTGAATTCTTGGATCTTGGAAGAGAAATTTCTGAACAGAAATCCAAGTAAGTCAGGAATTAAATGAAAGTAATTCAGAATTCTTCAGAAAGGAGAGAATTACTAATAAATCAAATTGCAATGACAGATGGATTGTCATATACTTCTATTTTCAACTCCACTATGATGGGAACGGATAACACAACACTGACGGACCACAAGTCACAGTCCAATCAACACAGATCACTTGTGAATCTAAGACTGTACAAATACATCCTTAAATGGGCAACTGAGCACTCCATCATCAAGGCAACATTAATACAATAAAAAATAGACAATTGGAACCCCAGTAACAAAATTAAGGACATATGATTAATCTACATAATACTAGATATACTACAACTTTAAGCTCTAGGTCTAACAGTAGGATAAAAGCTAGTTTTGAAAGGAATGATCTTAAAGAACAGGAATAGATTGTATTCAGCTAGTAAACATTTGGGACCCTGTTGCAAAGGCTAATACCTAGAATCTGAAGGGGAGCAAATATACAGCACAAATTACTAACGGCTTATGTTTCACACCATTCACTCAGTAACACAAGCCATGTGTAGTACTGCAGATATATTTTAAGTATATAAATTTGATCACTAACAGTACAGTAGGAGAACTCTTATTCTGAAGTACCCTTGAGAAAACTCATCACTCCCCTGGCAGTGAAAATAGATTTTCCAACAAAATTCTCTTTTGTGTCTAATAAAATTATTTGAGTGCCTTTGTGACCAAAGCTGCTTTGGCAATACACAAAACAAAATACTCGTGAGGTTTCTATTAAGTACTATATACACATACAATCTTATTTCAAGGGCTGGAAAGCCAAAATTTAAGCTGCCAAGAGAATGAATTTCACCTTTGACTTCGCCATTCCTGGCAAGAGGCAAGGAAAGAAGAAAAGAAAGGGACAAATTATCTTCATGCAGGAAGAGTTATGGCATGAACCATCAGTAGACAGACTCTGCTTGAAACCACATACTGTGTATTCACAAAGTTTGAGAAAGCTGCTCATACAAAAGCTTTTTTGGACAAATATTGAAGTGACTCCTAAAAGTCTGCTTGTAAGTCTGGAAACTAAATATGAAAGTAGCTTTCATCAATTCCATCGAAATTGGGTGTGCAAGAACTTCAAAAAGAATAATTAAAAATTATAGCTTCTCTAAGGCTCTCATTATATCACAAGGTAACATTTACACATCTCTGGAGTGAAATCAGCCTCTCCAATAAAAAGCACGATTCAGAATTCAGGTAGCCATGCAAAATAGATATGAAAAATCCTTGAGAGCTCATTACATGTCTTGGCTCCAACTCACAACAGCAGCAGTTCTTCCACACTATGTGCATTTCAGCAGGAACATTTTGTTACATATGCTGTCTCAGATATTCATAACATTAATCTCATTCATATCCAAAAATTAAACACAGATATTATTTTTAAAGGGAAACATGTTTATGGCAAAAATGCTTTCAACTGAAAAATTGCAAAGTGTCTTTGATATTCATTTGCCATCAGTAATGCAGGAACTCCCTTAGGTTGGTTGCTTTATTTATAAATCAAGAAGAAGTCTTAAACCACAACACATAGTCACAATCATGTTGTGTGACTTGAAACATTATTCTGGTATTTCACTGAAACACAGAATTCAACAAGAATAATGTGGGGCTTGCTTACCACTAACAGTTGTCAAATACATCACCTTGGTACTCACATTTCAATAGGTAAACAGCTTGAGGCAAGGATATTCAACTTTTTTAACCAGCCTCTACTGGATACCTTCTAATTTTATAAAGACAACACAGCACACAAGTTCACGTTTTGAACTTTTTCAAGTCATACAAAAAATGCAGCATTTTATTTTAAATTTGGATTAAATATCTAAAACTCCTGACATACACATATCTAGCACATTCAGCACAGAAAATACTTCATCTGGAGTTGGGGTGGATAGATAGGACTGAAGGTGGACAAATTAGTATGAAGTTAGTATCAAAAAGACAACTATAGCATGAGAAATGACTGAATAATTTCAGAATAGACATTACTTTTGATACAGCTCATAAAGTCAGTATCTATCTTTATTACAGTTGGCTAAATAACATTATTGTAATCAGTATTGAAAGAGCTGGTTCACAAGAGCAGCACCTAACCCAGTGTAGAAATGTTTCAGGATAACTTCATCAATGTGAAGATAGGGCTACTGTCATTATACCAAAGCTGGGCAGAGCAAAGCAACATGTGGCTGGTGCCTATTTTAGCTTACTTAACACTTTAAATGTTGTATTTGCCCAAGGGTTTTGCCTCACTTACAGCTCCTCACATCTCATTCACTTTATTTAGACACCTCTCTGCAGCTCTGTTTTCAGTACAAACAACAATCCATTATTCTAGGTAACAGGAAGGGAAAAAAACACCAACAAACTAGATGAACTAGAGAAGCAGAGCATTCAGGTATTCCACAGCTTGAATCCTGCCATGCAACAGTTGCAGTGCAGCATCACTCAGAGTATCATGTTTATCACACACATGGATGGATGACTGTAGGTTACAAGCATCAACACACAGAGCTAGCCCAGCTAGCTTAGTCCTGCTGTCATGCTGAAGGCAACAAATGCTCCCAAAACCAAAGTTCGGTGGTTCTGCTGCAGCCAAGACAGTTAAATTTAAATTGAATTAGATAGCTAAATTACACCTATTTAAATGAGAGCTGATACTGGCTCCCTATTTCCAATGACTATGGTTTATGACAGCAGAGGCAAGATCCAGATGGATCTTAGCTCTGTGCAATAGCCTTCCTGAGAACCCAACTACAGGCAAAAAACAAGAGTTTGCCTCCATAAAGCATCATATACTGACCTAGTAAGGTCATCCAGAGGTGAGCTGACCCTTACAGAACCACCAGCACACCTACAATACTCCCTCAGGAACACACAGCTACAGTTGCATCCTTGCATAAGCTAACAGGCACTGCATGGTTTGCAAGTTCTAAGTACAGCAATAAAGCGCTGGAGCTAAACAGACTTGTTGGACTCCAGATGTCCCTTCATCTGCAGCCTTAGTGATTCAGAATCCACACACTAAAGTTGATTGCAACAAACCAAGAACTGACACACAGATACACACTGTGTTTTTGTGCTGTGTAGAACTCAGCTTCCCAGAAACCTGTACCTTATACACATTGTTCTTATGCTGCCACTCATCAGTAACAACAATTTCCATCTTGCACGTGTGAGCTACGCAGTGTGTTAAGGCTGCTTCGGACATCATCTGAACAGCTAATCCTTTAAAATTCTTCTAGATTTTCTTGTAGAGGTGATGGCTTTAAACTGACACCATAAACAGTTGTAAGTAATCAGTCTTATTTATTAATCTGCAGATAAACGTGTAACTAATACTCCTGCACATGTTCTATTACTTTAAAGAAATTAAAGAGTGGAGGAAAAAATCAGAACACTAAAAACATTTGATTAGAGCTCAACCACTAAGGTATCAATAAAAAAAAATTAAAAACACAGGTACAACTAAATCAATACTACCATATTTTCAAAAATGTAGAAAACTCTTGTTTTCATGTGTTCAAAAGTAATTGATTCAAAAGCATCAAAAGAGAGAAATCCAAGTCCTCCAAGATATCTACCTATAAAAAGGTTAAAAAAACCTCAAACCAGAACACTAACTTACTAGCAACTATTTTGAAAGGCTGTTAAAGAGGTGATGTGCATGCCTCTCAACTATGAATTCCCAGAAAGTCAACTTATTAACTATGTAATTATTTAGAAACTCTACATAAAGCACAATTTTAAGAGTCTTTCCATACCAAAATGCATTTTTCTTATCAAGAACACCTTACCGTGCAGGAGAACAAAACATATTCAAAGAAAATGTCTCAGAAAAGTCATACTGTGGTAAAAACTAGGACAGCTAACTGGATGTAGATATGGAGAGCATCAACAACCCTCGCATATATGAGAACATCCAGAACATTTAGACTGTTCTTTATGAGAACATTTAGACTGTAATTATGTTTCTATATACAAAATTACTACAGAATATAATTTTATTATATAGAAAAAATCAGAATTTCACAACCAGGGCTCTACAAACAACATAACGTGTGGCTGATGAACTTTAGTAAGGCAAGAACTTTCAACAATTAACTTACTTCTAACTCTGCAGAAATACAACACCAGTTGTAGAACAGCCATTTCCTCTCCAAGGGCAATAGATTCTGGGGGCTATGGGATTTAGCCTATAAAAGTTTTGTTGTTTATCCATCCATGACAAGGGAAAGCTATACTCAAGGCTCAGTAATATCCAACTTTCTCTGTGATTTTACTAATGCGTTAAAGATGTGATCTGCTGCAAGACCATCTCAAGTGAGCAATGATGTTAGCTATGCAACTGAGTAACTAAAACAGTCTAAAGTTTCCAGAATCTCTCCTGTATTTCTAAATTTATATCCTAGTCAAAGGTTACGCATCATGTTATATAATCTGTGGTCTTCACTGAGAATGTTATGGCTATAAGCAAAGCAAATTAAAACAACAGCTTCTCTGGATCAGTGGTGAGCTATGAAGCAAAAAAACCAGACCATATGACAGTCACAATTTTTCTTGGCACACAATGGGCATTACAGACTGATGCAATCCTGTGTCCATGCTGGCAGCCCTCCCCAGCGTGTGTGTGAGAGTGTCACTACATCTGGATGGTGAGTGCATTAGGGTCCCGAGGCACTCCAGGCCTACTGAAACTAGAGGACAACAGCTGCACTCAATGAACACCATGGGAGCTCGGCAAAGTGATGAAAGGCCTGAATTACCACAAACTGTAAATACAGATTTATTTCATTAAAATACTAGGTAACCACTGCAGTGATCCCTTCCTGAAATTGACTCATTTCAAGTATAAGCCATTTATTTCAAGGACTCATTCACTTTTCTGCCCTGCAAAGCCAACATAAAAGGCAAAAACAATATTTTTTTTTTAATTTCAGCAAGGTTGGTCAAAAAAAACCTAACCTCCCACAGAAACACTGAAAGGAAAGCCAGAAGTGTACAAGACTGTCATCATTAGCCATGAAAGCGGTTTTTTGTTGCACAACTAAGGCATCTTCAAATGTTTTAATGCAATCTGGACACACACAAAACTGTTGCTAAACATGGAGAAACAAGGTGTGAAGACTGCTCCAGGAAGCAAATACACCACCACACACTCTCATTTCTCATGTATGCACAAAAAAATACATCCGTAAAGCAACTTTATATGCAAAATTGCAAAATCTTGGTTAAACACTAACAAGGTATTTCTGCTAAACCCTAGAACTCTGCTGTTATCCAACACAATGCTGTAATATGCTGCAAAAGCTTACATGCAACTTTTTAATGAGGTTGGAAAAGTAGTGGAAGAAGAAAAACAAAACCAAAAAACGCTAATTACTAGAGGACTGATTCCAAAGGGCGGTCACCATCTTATTGAAATAAACATATGGAAGTCAGAGAATGAGTCTGGCTAACCAGCATCTGCCAAAATACCTTGTTTGAAATGGAAACTGAGCCTCAATTGATTTTAAAAATATTAAATTATCATAATTAGAAAACAAGCAAAATTTCAAACAATCAGCGAGAAAGACATAATGTTTGCTTTCCAGTACTTTTAGAATCTATAAGGTCTACAGAAAAACTGAAGGAGGAAAGTACTTAAGGCCAATACTGGCAACCTAAGAATTATCTCTGCTTTTTGGAGCAGCACTCCAGCAGAATAAATTCTTGAGACTGGAGACATGCACTCCCATAATCCTTTCATGAGATACTCAACTCTAATAGCAGTCTTGCCTGAAATAGCAAAATCTTACAGGAACCTCGTAAGTCTAAGTTGCTTAATGGTTTGGAGTGTATGCCCTAAGATGAGAGGCTGCAAACCAGGATTCTTCTGCCTGCAGAAGAGAATGATCAAGAGCATCTTATCGTTGTGTATGGAGGGCTGTAAAAAAGATAGAGCCAGATTCTTCTCAGGGCTATCCAGGGAATGGGCAAGAGGAAACAGCTGCAAATTGCATCACAGAAAAGACTGGTTTTACCCTAAGGATGACTGAACATCACAAGAAATTACCCAAAAAGGCTGTCAGTCTCCATCTCTGGAGACAAGATATTCAAAGTCCAATTGGACAAGATCCTAGGCAACTTCTGCAGTTGATTCTGGTCTGAGAAAGGGGGCTGGATGAACTAGACAATCTCCGGAGATCTCTTTAACTTTTCTATTGTCTGCCTCTGTCAATGCTGAAGAAAATGTTAGACCAAAACTAAGACTTTTTGGCATTTTAATGGAATGAAAAAAATCAAACCAAACCACCTGTAATACTTTTCATCAAGGAAAGTACTTACCTGACATTTTTCCCTTGTTCTCTCAACATCTTTACCAGATCAGCTATTGGGTACTGAGCTTTTGCTGCACACAAACCATAACCTGAAAGAATTTCAAAATTTTAACTTATTTTCCTGTTTTAGTGCAGAAAGACTACTTGCAGACAATAAGTGTACATTCCACACAGAGATGCTGTCATAATTAAAAATAAATGAAAGAAATAAAAAGACACACATCAGATTCTCATATATTCCCAGCCTGACCACTGTAATTAATCTCTTTGTTCTCCTGACCACTGACAATGCAGAATTTGACAGTCAAACTACAAAACCACTTATTTCACCTTCACAAAAAGACATGCTCCTTTCTCTATCAGAAAAGGATGTTTCAGACAGGTACTTTGAAAAATTGATGAAAGGGCAATTGCCAGGTTACTTCACAACTATTATCCTCAACAGAATTTCAATCTGCCTAATGCAAATCTAGTAGCTGGAGATGGCTCTTAGCAGCAAATAATCTTTTCAGTCTCTCTGAGCTAATTTATCAAAGCAACTATACCCAAGAGCAAAATAAAAAGCATATATTATTAATGCTGTCCTCAAGATTGGACCACAGGAGAAAGAGGCAAACTCCTTGAAGATGACTGCAAGCTTCATTAGAAACAAAGGTAGCTTCCCAAATTAGAGCCCTACCTCACTGATGGTCTCATTAAAGTTGAAGCAAAATGAAAGATTACTTTGTATTTTAGCATTCTTCACATTCCTGTGCTAAAATGAGTTTAAGATGATAGTCATGCCATTCAGTTGAAGGAGAAGCCTTGGACTGTCCCCTGCCTGAGACTTCCTTTCAGGGAACGTGCTACTTAATGACATGAACAGCCAACATAATCGTTTCAGACAATTCAGGTTTTGGTTTTCAGGTTGGGTTTTTTTACCTTAATTACAGTATTTATATTAAGTACATGTTGGATGGGTGTTTTTGGCCTTTTATTGGTAAACCAATGCAGAACTGAGCAAGTACATTGAGAAGTGTAAATAAAATCCTGTCTTTCGGGATTTAACAGACAGTTATATTGGTACCACTGGTACTGTAGCTGTGCTTGGAAATTCAGTTAATTCTGTGTACAGCTGCTTTGGTGTAAACTTAATATACAAAAGATAAGTCTTTGTTCTGAAGAATTTAAAACGCAAATAAAAAGGACAAACTTTGAAGACAGATACCCAAAGAAAAATGAAGCGGCACACATCTCTGCACTGAGGAATGATAACTGACCAGGGACCAAAAACAAATCACACGGACCCAGTCAACATTTGATATGCTGCTGCCATGCTGCAACCTCAGGCTACATTTTTTTGGTTTGTTTTGTGTTTTTGTTTGGTTGGGGTCCACTTTTTTAAAATTACATCCTCTGAATATATTGCTGTATAAGTCAAGAGAGTCTTACCTGGAGTAATAATAATACTATTGGCTTCTTTTATCATTTCAACTGCATTGTCCACATTGATTTCTGTGTGAGTTCCAGTAATTTCCATGGGTTTCCCACCAGCTGTTGATGCAGTGCCATAGCCCCCAAGAATCACATTTGCAAGGGAACGGTTCATAGCCTGAAAGACAGGGTGGTTTTGATCATATGAAGATGAAATCCAAAAATAAATATGAGAGTCCACAAAGAAAACTTCTGAAAAAGTTATCTGAAAATATTAAAGGCTTCCTGACAATAGTCTTTATAAGTTGGTTTTGCCTTCTTATAACCCAAAGACTTTTAAAACAGGCTCTTTAAAACAGTTTACCACAGCAATCACCAAGCATCAGCTTCAAACACATTATATTACACACGTAGTGAGAGCACCAATATTTCTCCAAAACAAACAAAATTATGCAAATAGCAAATATTGGTCTCTTTTTGTTCTTAAAAGGGAGGAATATGAAAGAATGCATGTTTGATGACAGAGTTTCTAAAAATGTTTTTACATTGGTATAAACACACAGATAGTTTTCAAAGATACTTTCCATAGTTTTTAACCACTTCAACATGTAAACACAGCACTGCTCCATGACAGCATGGAATCCACAAAGCTCTTACAGGTAGTACTGGAGCAAAACTCCTACAGAAACAAGACAGGAAAACACAAAAGCAGCTAATCAGCCACACAAAACCAGACACGTTGTAAAGAACTGAAGGGGGCCATTAACTTACTGGCTGATCACCAAAGGAAAACAAGAGATTTTAACTAGATGGTTTAAGAGAAGAACACACCCTAAAAATCTGGCTCCATTAGACACATAGCCAGGAAAAGCCATTGGCCAAATGCTTTCTTTGGCACATCTATTTGTGACTGTGGTCCCAAAGCAATATCTGTCTATAACTGGAAATAGGCAAAACTTGTAACTGCAGGGGAAAAAAAACTTTAGAAGCAGGAAGGGAAGAGGATAAAATGCTTCTTTAATTACATATACGAGTTATACATCTTCTGTACTCGCTGAAAAACCAGGAGAAAATTTAGGGATGGATCTGGAGATATACACATATAAGTGGGAGGAATCACCCCCACAAAATTGTGCTTCCAGATGTTCATTCTCCACTGGCATTTCAAATCATGCAGTTCCACCGTTTTTTTGCTATTAGCCTCAGAAGATATGTCATTCTTTGAAATTTATAATCTAGCAAATAAGCAGAACGATGATGTTAGAACTTTTGTTTTTCCTGGTAGGTTATCACTGTTTCAGATACTGTAAGGGAGACACACAAAACCACAGCGAAATCAACATCTTTTACTGTCTGCAGCACACAGTAGTTCACATGCCCTAAGAACACACTGCCTTTGGCATCTATCTCAGCATCATAGCAGTTGTGTCAGGTAAGAGAGCCTAGACAGAAGAATACCATCTTCAGATGTTGCACATGCCAAGCTTACAGGAAGCAGAGCAGTTTCTACACATATCTAAACCAAAAGACAACAGTTAGAACAAGTCAAAGGGAAAAATAAATAAATAAAAAATATAAAATGTTATTAGAAATCCAAGAATCAGCTAAAAGCGAGCATGAGATTGAAGCACCCTTGCCTGGCTCCACTGCAAAGAGCCAAGAATTTTGCTTCCAAGAGAAAATGTGAAAGGCACAGAAGAGTCAAGACCTTATCAAGCAACAGTTAACCAATATAGCTGGGACAGTGTGAAAACTCTTCTGTAGCCTCTTCCACCTTCTTTACCACCACAGATCACAAATACAGAGGTATAAAGTGCAGGCTTCATCACTCACTGATAACCCAACAACTGGCAAAAAGCCGTATGTGCTGTGTGTATACAAGTAACAATGGTCAAGAGCCCACAGTCCAGGGAAAATCAAATGCCTGAATCCTGAGAACTACACATGCTTCCACTGTGCCCACAGAAACTACACAGCCAGTACACGTGAGTGGCCAGCATACAATTTGTAAGACTGACAGTTTGTCCCCTCTCTTGCTCTGTTTCATCAACCCAGCTAATGGTTCCTCTTCAATCTTAAGTATCTTCGGCATCCCATAATGATTCTAATACCAAAATTGCCATCATCAAGTACTCCCTCTGGGGAAAAAACAAGGGACAAGGACATGCTAACAATCAAATGTTCTGAAGAAGATGTATTATGTTGGTGTCTTAGAAGAATCACAATTCTCAGGATGAGCAAACAGTACAAGCCTTTGCTTTTTGAAGTTAAATTCTGTCCTTATCTCAGTTATCAACTGAAGCTTTAAGAGATAGCTGGACTGCCTTTGGATGATTAAGCCACAGTTTCATCACAAAAACTAATTGAAAAATGTTGTAAAAATAAGGTTTCAACCATTAAGATGTTTCCACAAATACCTTTTCACCTGTATTGGTGAGTATCAATAAATATACTGGTTTTGACAGAAATCAGTAAAGAGTAGGGGAGAAAAACAAAACAAAACAAATAAACAAAATTCTTTTTTTATTTTTGTAAAAAAGGGCAAGGGAAAAGTGTTGCTTCATTAGCACAGGTTGAAACACCAAAAGCAGAATTTATTGAAACTCTTCAGCATTTCCTTCTCCTGAAATGCAGCTTCAAGACAATGATACTGAATCCCCTGATTATAACAATGCTTTTTAAAGCAATTATTTCCATTAAGAAAGTAAAGCAGAAAGGAAAAATTCTGGGCTAAGAGCATGTTATTCTGCTTATTGTGCAGAAATGATACATAATAATTTTCATTTTACTGGTTGCTGAACTTCGGTTGTCTAAGGTTATAAAAAGCAGCACAAAATTTCTAGACACTACCTCAAAACCTAAACTTCCTGTAATCTGAGAAACATAGGGAGAAGTCACTCTGTGACTGCCTAACTATTTTGCTAACTATTCCCCCAGGCTTCCTATTTACCTGGGTTCCTCCAACCAACTCTGTACGTATTTCAAAACTCTCTTGTGAGTCCTATGAGAGGTGAGCAATATTTAGAAAGAATGGAGACAGTAGAAGAAAAATGAAGGTATAGATAGATTACTGTTAAATGCATACCAAACAGTTCACATTTTCCCTAAGGTTTACAAGAATTTGATCCTTAAAGAGCAGTTTTCATACCTGTGTTACCCATAAGCACCATTTTTCCACTGATATGGACTAAATTCCTGAATGTATACAACTAAACATACGAGCTACATAATTTGATTTCCTTTTGATAAGGAAACAGAAAATGTTAAATAAAAAACAAGATTCTTTGAAATTCATACCTGAAATTTTTAATTTCAACTCACTTTCATGTAGTTGCACAAAAATACTTTTTTAAGCTTTTCTAAAATTCTCCCTCAAGAATGATACTGAATATTCCTAACATGGTAACGCTATTATTTATCAGTGGAGATGAAGTAAAAGATGATTGCCAGAGCTGACCAGAGGAAAATATCCAACAGGAAAACAGTGGCACCGATCACACGAGAGCACAAGGGCAGAAATGAAGCAGAATTACACAACAGAGAATGAGGTGGCTGGCAGATGTTGCACTGCAAACAGTTTTCTTTAAGATATTGCCTCTCCACCTCTGAATACAAGACTTTTATACAAATTTTCCAGAGAAGAGGAGGTCATTACTAATGATGCAGTACAGCTCTCATACTGAGCTGAAGCTCAAGCTTGCTGACACATGGGCACATCAGTACTGAACTCATGCAGGCCTGCTGCCACCCCGTGGTACTCCAAATGAGCTGCTCTGAAGAAAACAGCACACCTTCCTTCACTCCAAAAACCAAACTGTAAATCAGTTGGTTTACCAATAGCTTTTTAACTGAACACACTATTTAAGCATCTCCTGCTACATATTAAATCTAGCTTAAATTTAACCACATTTCAGAAGCTGTATAACTAAAAAATAAATAGCTGACCAGAAGTAATCATACTTCTTTGAGCTCAGATTCAAGCCCTTAATATTTAAGTCAATGCAAGGGCTTTTCTCAGTTTTGAGATACGTCTCTCACCAAACCAAGGAAAAATGATCGGACATCTATTCCAACAGTTTCAATTAAGAATTTTCTAGTCTGTAAACATCTAACAGTTTGAGATCCAATGGCTTACCTTCCTAAAAAACATAGTTTAAAAAGTTTTTTCATTACTCAGCAAGCAAACACAGTTTCTGTTGACTTCTTACCACACACATGATGTAAGAGAGGATGGCCCCAGAGGAGCCAATGAGTGCACCAACAATGGTCAGCAAGTTGTTGTTCAGGAGAAAGCCCTCAGCACACAAAGCCCATCCAGAGTAACTGTTCAGGACAGTAATAACTACAGGCATGTCAGCACCTCCAATAGCTGCTGTTAAAGTGACACCCTGGAGAAGGAGAGAAAATACTTCAGTGTCAGCAACGACTAAGGAGAGCACCTAGAGAAGACACACAGCACTGAAAAATAAATATAGAATCATAGAATGTTTTATGTTGGAAGGGACCTTAAAGATCAGCCAGTTCCAATTGCCCTGCCTTGGGCAGGGATGTTACCCACCAAATCATGTTGCTCAAGGCCCCATCCAACCGGGTCTTGGACACTTCCAGGAATGGGATATCCACAATCTTTCTAGGCAACTGTCAAGTTACTTAGAACCTATTCAGGTATTTTCAGTGTAGGTATTCAGGCTGTGGCCTGAGGATTGGACCTACCAAATCTATCTTTCCAGAGAGGACAGAAAGGTACCCCACCATACTCATGCTCTGCTTAGTCACATATTTTTTTACTTACAAAATTATCCTACCAGGTCCATGGAACTGTTCCTATCATTAAGGTATTCATATTGAGCAGTCTTTGCAAGACTCAGTTTATAGAATGGCAATATTCAAGGTAAATTTTGCAACATTGGCGTACACTGGTGTAAATGAATGGGGGAAATTACACGTGAAAGTCATATTAAGAAGTTATCATAATAATCTGTAGATCCAGAGCTCTTTTAAGTATTTTAGGATTAACTTTCCAAAAAGTACTTCTCAAGTACCACTTCTCAAGTATCACTTCTCTAGTATAACTTTGTCATATAAAAAGCTTCATTAATCAATAGCTGCAAAACGTAATTATAAAAATGCATTCCAGTTCTCTGGAACAGTTCTGGTTTACAGCTAGATCTAGGGCAGGCATCAGGCTCACTGTGACTCAGGATGGTAAAATATAATCCGCAAAGAGGAAACTTGCAGAACTGGAGAATAAACTCCTTGTGTAATGTGTTTCACTTTCTACAATTCCTCAGCTTACCATTATGGCTGAGAGTGCTGACACAGAACCCAGGCAAGTAATTCCCGTAGCATAAGAAGGATCAATCATGTAGGGAACCATCCCACCAATGCTGGCAGCCAGCAGTCCTGCATTCAATGCATGTCGACCAGGCAAGAGCAGAGGTGCAGAATTCAGGACACCTGCAATCAAATGCATTTTCAGACATGAACATGCACATTCAGGGAAGCCTGTTTCTTACCTTCAGAGAAGACTGAATAACTTAGTGAAAGAAAAGTTTAAAAAGAAAAAAGGGAGGGGCAGAATAAAACAAGTTAGTTGAAGTTGAGATCTTCTGCTGACTCAGAATTGCAAGACATTCAAACTCCCTCTAGATTCTCAAATACTCTTGTTCAAACTCTGTTTACTTCCTAATTTCATTGAAGTGCTCCAGAATAGTCAGAAAAATCTCTTTTCCTTCCTTTTTATTTTTCATTCAACACAGTCCTTCCACTTTGTCTCCAGTTCTTTGTATGTTGGATGTTTGTATGACACACAGTAGAAGGAAGTTTTAGCTGGAACTTCTATACAACGATTATCTCAGTCTCTCAAAAAACTGTGTGCTTAGAAAAATATGACTACATAGATAACACCAAGTACAAAATACTCCTGTTTTCAAATGCATTAATCACAACTTCCCTCAATCACACAGAACTCCTACAGTTTCCCACACCTGCAGAACTTGAGGGGAAAGGGGGGGGGTTCAGTATTTGTGTGACTCTGTTTTAAAAGACAGTCACATTTATTCTAGACTAGGGTTTCTTTTTTCCAAACCACATGACAAACAATACAAGTTTCCCAGTAATTACTTACACCATAAATACAGTGTCTCATTTAAATTTAGCTGAATTCAAGGGAAAGAATGAACTGATGGTCTCAGGGGAGTCAAACTGTGTGACTTACTACTCTTTTCCATACCATAGGATCAGTAGTTCACTGGTATAGACAAGCTTCATAGTTCAAATCATGATGATATAAAAATGCAAGGGAGAAAAAAGTAAACAGAAATAGAAGAGCAGGCTTAAACAGGCAGTGAAGTTCACCAGGGACATGCGCACAAATCACTGAGGAGGTACAATGGAGAGAGAAAATATAACCAAGAAGAAATAAATGAATAACTACTTAGCAGAGATACATGAGAAATACATACTACTGACAAATCCTTCAAAAGATTATTAGAGAAGACAGCTTTCCATCCTTGTCATATTTCCTCCTTCAATGGCTGGTCTCATAAACACTGAAGAAAGCAAACAGATGTTTCCCAAAGGAACTATTGCAAAGTTAACAACAGGATTAGTAATAGGAAGCTCTTAGCCTGAAATTCTTAGTATAAGTATTACCTCAGCTTCTCAAAAGCTGTGTGCTTACAAAACGAAAAATAAATTCAATAAAGAAACGTTCACATGCATAAGAATCAGGAATTAGTGAGTATTTAACTTAGAAAGCATATTTGCTAAAACAGCAAGAGGCATGGAGCATGAAGTTTGCACAATAGTTAAATAGACAGTGAACTGAATGGTTTAAAGTGAGGCAGCCTCAATACTGCAAGCTGCCTACCTTAATGAAGTTTGCAGTATTAAGAACAGAATCCTAGAAGTATTACTAGTGCTCACTGAATCCAGCAACATGAGCCTTTCAATTAAAATGTCTGCTCAGAAATACAAAGTTGTAATCATAAAAGTTCAATAAAATTATTTTCAGCAAAAGCATCAGGTAGTGTCTTAATACCAAAGCAACACTTATTTCTAGACAAGATGAATAGTAGTAATATGCCCAAGCACTGAAGACAACCTTTCATAACTAAAGCTGTACAGAATTAGAAACAAAAAAGTACATTCATAAAAACTAAACATCTAAACTTTTACCTGGTGCAAAATACAATGATTTCTTCCAATTACACAGCAGTCTAAAAGTAGAGCTAAATCCCGGGGGAAGAAAAACCCTTTAATAAATATTTAATTCTGAATAGAAGGTCTCACCTTGCAGTTTTCCATATGCAACAAGAGAGCCACTGAAAGTCACTCCACCAATGTAGGTGCCAAGATATGCCACAATCTTGGTGAGGTTTGCAGCAGGATCGGTGGCAAAGTGAGGATATTCAATCATGTACTCTGCTACACAGGTGAGCACAGCAGCCAAACCAACCAAACTGTGGAAAGCAGCCACTAGCTGAGGCAGATCTGTAATCTGGATGCGTTTAGCAATTGTCAGACCTATTGAGAGTTGAAGACAGAAGGGAAATCTTAGAAAATACCACCCACCTGTTCAGCTAGAAATTAGTACAGGATGGTTCAGTGTGCAATGGTTACACAGACACAAGCCTGTTCCAACTAGAAATTGCTATGGCATTGAACTGAAAGTTGCACATTTTGTGCAAGGGGGACATAATGAAAAATAGAAAGATTAAAGCATATCATGTGCTAAGAAGCATCACTAAATATTGAGAAATTCGCTGTTTTCTGTCACAAAGGCACAGTGTGAAAGAGAGAATTTGGCAGTATTCAGTCAGGAACTGAACAGAAGTATGAAGTTGGGCAAGATGATTTACCTCTGGACACACAGTTTCCCTATCAGAGGTGATGTGCTCCCACTTTTCCACAAGTCAGCCCATTGTTTATCACATTCTGAAGCATTAATCAAAACCCTAAAAGTTATGATATTTTGTTCACATATTTGAAAAATAATTTTGCACAAGCTGCAAATGTCAGTTAGTCAATCCACCTGCGAGCTACACAGTATTTTATGTATATATAGATTGCACATATGCATTCATGGAACATAGATTGCTAGTTCATTATACACATACCTATGGTCCCACCAAGTGCCATTGCACCTGACATCTGTGCCAACAGTTCAGGCGAAGGATGAAGGCTTCCAAGAGTTGCGGCTAAACCTCCTGCAACACCAATCATACCCAAAGCATTTCCAAGACGAGCTGTTCCTTGGGTAGACAAACCAGCCAGAGCACCAACACAGCACAGTCCCGAGCCCAGATACATCACCTTTAAAATAAGAAAACCATCAGTATGAAGAAGTGAAAAATTGCATTGCTATAAAAACATCTCTGATTATTACATGAAAGGGCTGATTTCTCCAGAATCTGTTTAATTCACAGGTCTTAACTGAAGTCGAGAAGCTGTCATACAGGATGTTTTTTTGGCCAACTAAAATGTGATACCTATAAAGCTTCTCCCTCACTTGATGACCTTTCTTTGTCTGCAGAATGAATATTAACTAGAGCCAAACCAATTTACCTCATCATTTTAGAAGCAACCTTTTCTTTAGCACAAACCCAAAGCTATATGGTCCTGTTCATTATAGGAATAGTTTCAGAATTCGTTTATGCCAAATTTGAACTAAGAAATAGTTTAGATAGTTCTGAATGACCAGAAGTAGTGTGGCCAGAAGGAGTAAAACTGTGATCATTCCCCTGTAGTCAGCACTGGAGAGGCCACACCTTGAATCCTGTGTCGTTTTGGACCCTTCACTTCAATAAAGACACTGGAGCAAATCCAGAGAAGGGCAACAGAGCTGGTGAAGCATCTGGAGCACAGGCTGGGGAGGAAGGAGTTTGGGGTTTTCAATCTGGAGAAAAGGAAGCTCAGTGGAGACTTTATTACTCTCTACAACTCCTCAAAAGGAGGTTGCAGCCACATGGGAATTGGTCTAATTTCCCAGGTAACAAGTAAGAGGTCAAGAGGAAATGGCCTCGAGTTGCTCATGCTGAAGGGTATATTAGATATTAAGACTTCTTTTTTTCATGGAAAGCATGGCTGAACTTTGGAACAGGCTGCCCTGGAAAGTGGTAGAGTCACCATCCCTGGAAGTGTTCAAAAAAACCCTGTGGATATGATACTTGAGGACATGGTCTAGTGGTGACCATGGTGGTGGTGGAAGGCTGACAGCTGGACTTGATGATCTTAAAGGTAATTTCCTACATTAATGATTCTGTGGCATTCTGTAACTGTTTGCAAAAAGTAAAAACAAACTTACATGAACTGAGCTATATATGTCCAGATAATTGGAAAACCACAAATATGTTACAAGCCCCTGCCATAACAGTATGTTTGGATTCACTTTTTCCAAATGCACAAGGCAATACAGATTGATTTTTCTTACTATTAAAACAAATGCAAACAAAAGTTTATCATAAAAGGCGCTATAGGTAAAATCCCTGTATATCGTTCTGTGCTGAAAACTGATCCCATCCTTTTTTAACTGTCATGCCAAGTTGAACTTTCAGAAATATGTAAAACAAAGACTGATTTCCGTAGTTACTGAATTATTTAAAGCACCTGCTACATTAACACAAAACCAAACAACAAAAGAGCTTTTAAATTATGTTAGTTGTGTGACTGCAAGCTAACAGTTAATCAGCTTCAGACTGGCCTTGTGGGAACATGCAGCTGATGGAAAGACCTTGGATTATTTGTTATTTACTCCTCAACAGAACAGTCATGAAGAAACATAACACTGAGCACTGGGCTAAGAGCCATAAAGTTATCTTCTTACTTGTTCAATGTTATAGCCACTGCTGAGAGCAGCTGCATAACCTCCTACAAACACACCACCAGGGAGCAGGTACAGGTAGTTGTACTCAGGAGGGTCTGTGGGACGTTTGAACATATCCAGCATTCTCTGTGTAACTAAAAAGCCACCTGGACAAAGTAAAGGAGCAATCTTAAAAAAATCAAATCTGAAATCAAGTACATACCACGTTATAAGAGAAATATTTAATAATACCACATTACCACACAATTCAGCAATTTCTTACTAGAAAACCACCAGGAAACAGGCATAATCAGGGTTAGAGCTTGCTGTCTCTTTTAGCCTTTGGAACAAATTCAGAAGAAAAGGAGGACTTGCTCTGGATCCATACTCTACCACTGACTGTAGGATATAGCTTAGTTTATGACTTTGTTCTTTTCCCCACCTATTCTAGAAAAGGCAGTATTTCTAAGTCACACTGCACACTTCCTTGTCCTTTTCATTATTGAAGCTGGGACTTCTGAGACTCAAGGAAATAGAATTCTGTTCTATGCCACTAGTATATATTTCAAGTAGGAAAATTAATACAAGTACAAATCCTCTACAACTACCCTGTCGGCTTATACAGGAAAATATATAATCATCACCCAAAGAATTCTATGAAAGAAAAATGCACATTTAAATATTTCCTAAAAAGGTTACTCCACAGGGTATGCAAAATACCTACAATAACTACTGTGAAAATTGGAGGGGTGATGGGCTTTTATTGATAAATGCTCCCAGATTCTACTCTCAGAATCTGTCTTTCTGAATAGAATTTCTCTAGTATTTCTGGAATTATACAATTAAAAAGCTAGAAGAAATTTTAAAATTACACTAGTGCTTGAAGTTATCCTTGGGAGAAAAACTAGCATTCATACCTGCAATATTGACTGAAGATATAAAAGCTGAAAGCACTGCTAGGCTTTGGGAAATGTTTTCAGGGAAATAGTGTCCTCCCATCAGAACTAGCCCACCAACTGCAGTCAGACCTATTTAAAAGAGAAAAAAGCATTACTGTGTAACCTTAAAAAGCTCTCTACACCTATAGGAAGTTTCCTTTCAACTGTGGACAGTACCAGTCAACTCAAATTTTGACCCCTACTTCACACATTAATGCTTAAAGGAAAACTACCACAGTCTTCTTCAGGAAAACAAACATGTTTCAAAAGAAAAAAAAATATGGCATATGAATGTAGTTTTGAAGAACTGTGCCTTAAGCACAGTTAGCCAAGTACTTGTTCAATTAAAGAAACTTCGTTTTTAACAACAAAGTGGTTCACTTGTGACCTGCCACACATTGCCAAACACAGATACATAAAATCTTATTTACAGGAATTATTAATCTTATGGGTATTTTAGGATTTATTTTCTTTTACCCCCCTCTCCCAAAAGACATCGTTTGAGAAGATGAATAAAAGAATGTAAAAAAAATAGGAAAGATAAGTTACTTTCAGGGCAATCTTTTGGAGAGATGGGAGGAAAGATGTGATCTATGAAAGAAGACTGCAGCACTCCTAGTAAAACAAACTTTGAAGCAAATAGATCAAGTGTAAAAAATTACTTTTGAAAATTAAAAGGATACAGCATCAAATTTGCCTTCCTTTTGAAAAAATCATACTCTCAGAAACACAACGTTTCAGCTATCCTTACTATTTATGAAAGTAAACTTAAATATGCAGAGTAGTATTAATTAAGGTAAAAGGAGTTGTGCCTACTTCAAGTAGGAAACAAGCAGCTGTGTGACAGCTACTTACCTGAGATAGCATTAGTCACAGACATGAGTGGGGAGTGCAGAGCAGGAGTCACACCCCACACTGTGTGGTAGCCCACTATTCCAGAGAGGCCAAATGTCGTCACCATTTGTGTGAAAGCAGCATTAGGTGCTACAACGCCCAGCCCTAACATACCAGCTAAACCTAGAAGGAAAGCACAGGAAAACCGTAACTTTTCAATTACTTTTTACATTTAAACTCTATACAACAGTTTATAGCCTAGCACTGACACAAAAGCAAAATGGAGTTCTCTGCATGGACTAGTTTCAAAATTAGGGGTATCGTTTTGTCAAATACACAAAGTTCTTTCAGTGCTAGTGTTTCTTTTGTAAGAGAAAATAAAGCCATAAATATAATCCACAAACATTTGTTATGCTGTCGCTCTCCTGTTCTGTAGAAAAAATGTAGAAGTCACAATTATGCTGAGATATTACTTGGAAGTATCAAAGCATATTTATGAAAAGAGGGGATTAAAATTAAGACTACTGAATTCATTAATTGCTTCATGCAGAAGTTCTAATGTACTGAAAGTAACAAATGAAATGAAGAGCCAATACTTATTTGTCAAAGCAAATGTCCTGTTTCCAATACCTCAGTATTGTGGTCATTTAAGTCTCACACAATACAGTAAAATCTGAAGAAAGCAGACATTGAATAGATTCTACTGCAAAGTATGGGTACAGTCCCTGATAGGAATCCTTCAGAATTTTAAGCATTTAACTAATATTTATAGTAGAGCCAAGCACACACGTATGCACATAGAATGAATCAGCACTTGTTGAAATGTCAAATACTTCCTGTAAAATTCAGAATTTTATTTTCACTCTGAAGCAATTATTACAATACAATGATTTTGCACCAGGATACACCAACCAATCAACTGTTCTCCCAAATAGTTATTCAACTGAATGAGTTAGATGATGGGTCATTCAAAAGTATTAGCCAAATGAGAACTACTCTACACTGACTCTCCAGCTATGGAAGTTGCCTACCTGCTGTGTATACGGATGCAGTAGTCATGGTTTTTCTAAAAGGTGTAATAGTAGCTGCTTTTTCTGCTTCCAGCTCTGCTACAGTCTTCTGTTTTGCTGGTGCTCCTTGAGGAATGTTATTTGGTGGAGGTGCTGGGAAAATCACTTTGCCATCCTGACAAGAGATAGTTACAGTTATACCTAACATGGCAGATGCTTAGTACTTAGAGAAGTATTTTCTTCTTAATCCTGCAATTTAGGCAAGTGCTAACATCCTACAGCCATGCCCAGGAACAGGCTCCTCTTCTGCATCACCAGGAGTTTGCAAGGCATGACCAAGTTAATCATACTGGTTTGCACATTCTTCAGACAAGATCCGATATTAGTGTCCAAGAGCAACTGGTGAAGATACAGCACAAGGCTCCAGACCAGAAACAAGAGAAAAGCAAAGAGATACAAGTTCCTTAACAGGAAAACGCCTATGCAAAATAAAACAGTGTTGGAAATAACAAAATCTGCTACAGATATGAACTGTAATCACAGCCTTTCCAGACCTCAGTGATGATCTCCCACATTTCTTGTTATTCTTCAGGCCTCCGTGGAGCTATCAGCACTGAGCTGTACACACCACTTCAATGGTCTGGAAGAGCTGAAGTCTTGAGTTTTTATGTTATTATTTTCTGATAAAACTTAAAACATACTGCATATTCTAGTTTCATCATTTGTTTCTCTTACTATAAAAGGAACATTTTTTTTTTTAAGAAATAATGTTTTTCAGGAAGAATGTTTCAGTCTGGTAAAGACTCAAATACGTTTTAAGTAGCTATGTTTTTATCAGAGGAAACACGCAAGCTTTATCTTTTCCATATTTTTCATTAGTAAACACATTAGGTTTAACCTTGACAAGACAAGACTAAAAAGAGACAGAGGAATTTTCAGCTGAATAAACACACAGCTATTCACAGGCTCCACCAAGCCACCTCTGAAATCTGTTGGCATGCAGTATCTCTGAATATATTTTGAAGAGACAGAAATGATAAATTTTAGGTCTGTACTCACAAATTAAGAAGAGAGTATTTACTGGCTTACCTTCATTACTACAGTTCCTCTAATAACATGATCCAGAGTCCCATAGTCAAAGTCATCTTTTGGATCAAAGTAGAAGTTCTCTTTGTCAGGACTAATAGCCTTTAGAAGTTTGATAATATTATTAGAATACAGGGTACTGGCCTGAGTAGCCATTCTGCTAGGCAGATCAGTGTACCCAATGTGTGTAACACCCTGAAAAAAAAAATCCAAGTAAAATAATAAGGATTTGTACAATTTCTGAAAAAGCATCATCCCTTCCAGTATATCCTTCTGGAAATATATATCCAAACTGTTTCATTTATCTCTGTTTATAACCCCAACTAAATCGGTTACCTGCAGCTCTGATACTACTACTGAGTCAGGGACAGATCACTCACAATAGCTACAGAATCCAACATGATCAAATCCAAAACCTTAAAATCTATTAGTAACAATACTTCACAGAGAGGAAGACGTATTGGTACAAGAGCTTGTCTTCTCCAAATCCTACATTCTCTCTGAACCTAACTTCTTTAAGCAATCAGGTAACAGATTAATCTGCCTAATGCTTGGCATCTTCTCAGTTTTTCTGGAAGGCAAGAACTGGAGACAAGCTCCTGTACGCCAGCAGAGTGAACGAAGCTTCCTCAGAGCTGTACAAGTAATACCTCTGAGTTCATACGTATGTAAAAATGTAACCTAATATATCCTCACTGCTTAAAGAACTAATGAGAACTAAAAGATATCAGGCTTTAGGAAGGAAAGGGAAGCTGAGGCTGGCATACACTCTTGGGTGTTCAAAAGTAAGCTTGTGTTAAAACACTGCTCCCACAACTTATAGCTAAGATCCATGCATGCTTCCAGAATTCTGGCTTCCTAATGCAATGGTCTGGCACAATCCTAATAGTTCTGCACTGCTGCTATTTTCCATAGCACAGAGCCAGTACACTAAATCCAGGGGTAATACTCCTCTGACTAAAAGTGTTCCATGTAAACTCTTCATGCAAGTATCTGCTTACTTCTCTTCTACATTCTCTAGTTTCAGGTTTTAAGCAATGACATCAAAAGCCCTAGAAAGCCACAAAGACAAATGCAACGTGTGACTCTGATATATAAGAACAGAATTCTGCTTAAGTCAATGATAACCATGGCAGCACTGTCTTACAGGCTTCCCAAAAGAAGGTATTATATCATATCCATTACCAAATTACAGCCCAAGAAATCTGCTACTATAAATCGCATCACCCAAATTTCTGCGATTGTTAGCAGATTTCCCATAAGTACCAAAAACAAAACCCAAAAAGCAGAAAGACAAGTTCTCAGCTGAGCAAAAGAACACTGGAGCAAAACCAAAGTAGTTCAGTCCAGACCAAAACTGCTTGCTTTAATCAACCAATTTATGCTGTTATCTACTTTGGGTTTCAAGTGCTTTGGATACTCTATGGGAGACACACTCATGTTGCTGCAGATAAAGACAAGCAAAGCCAGCAGCCTCCTGAAGGTGAAATAGTACTGAGTAAGCCAGAGACTTTGTACTGAAGTAAACACTGAGAGTCTGAACCTGCTTAGCTTAACTTATGACAGGAATGCTAACCTCCAGTCATGGGAGGTGATAAGCAAGTCAAAGAACCTATTGATACTGCTGCGTTTTTTAGACAGACCAAGAAATAGATATCAAATCCCACCTTCCACTCAGAAGAGACAACCACAAAACTTGTGTGGTGAAGTTTAAGTAGCAAGAATTCCGTCATATCCATTAACAACCAAATTAACACTATACAAAGATGTTAGTTTCTTTAAGACTATTCAAACTGATGGATATAAATAGTGTCCAAATGCAAACCTAAAGATTTACTTCAGCCTAAAGCAGCTAAAAGACTGTTGAAAATTCAGCTGCTCATTTTCAGCATACAGTTTACAAAACACCGTAGAAGTTCAGGTAAATTGAGAATGAACTGCAGATTAAAATGCTCACCTTATGAACATACATTTCTCCAGGCTTTGTAGTCTCAATATTTCCCCCTGCTTCTGCAGCTAAATCCACCACAACTGAACCTTCCTTCATAGATTCAATCATATCTTTCTTAAACAAGATTGGAGCTTTTTTGCCTGACAAAACAAGGCATATCAAGTTAAACACAGCTTTCTAACTGTTGAGGAGATGACTTCTCCTCTTTATACATAAGCTTTAATTTTGTAAGCAAAATTTTCAAGTAGTTAGTACCTAGGATAAAAGAAAATCATAAAAGTTTTTTTATTATGAAGACAGAAGAGGTGCTAGACCATCGTGTTCCAAAAGAATACAAGAAAGTTATGCATGGTAGTCTACCAAAGATAAGTCCAATTCTGCCAGCAAACCAACAGTCTTAACACCCAATCTTACAATTCCAGTCATAACAAAAAAACCCCACCACATTGCAAGTTATTAAAATACAGACATTGTGCTACATGAAGCACTAAAATCCAAGCTCTACCTCACTATGTTTCAATTACAAAGGACAGTACCATTTCAATCAGACTTGTTCCAGTGGACAAGTTGTATACCAGAAGTAGCAGTAATGCAATAGACATTCAAGAGAATTATATATGCTTACTTTATTACTATCTACTCCTTTTTCAGTAAGAAAAATATAATGGTATTTGAATTAGACTGAATAGTCTATGAAAACAAAAGTCGTTTAAAAAAAGGACACACTTGAAAACCAGGCCTTCATCACGGAAGTGTAAAGGTACATGCTCACACAGACATAATTCACTAACCCCTCTGTTTTCATGCAGATGCAACTTCAAAACATGACAACTTACTTAGAAAAATGAAAACTAGCATTTTTAACATAAAGCATACCTGGAATAAGTGCTGTAGTGATGATAATGTCAACATCTTGGCACTGTTTGGCAAAGAGTTTCATTTCAGCTTCAATAAATTCTTTGGACATTTCCTTAGCATAACCACCTTGTCCCTCTCCAGATTCCTTCAAGTCTACTTCCAAAGGCTCAGCCCCAAGAGACTTGAACTGTTCCAGAGCTGCAGCTCTAAAAAAAGAAAATTGTAGGTGAGAGAAAAATCACTATTTTAAAAATACATCAGTATTTTACCAGTGGTTTTAGCAGCAATCTTCAGACAAGAGATGTAAAACTTATTCTAGTATTAAGGAGATCATAATGAAAGTCCTCAGCTTTCTGTATTCACTGCAAAAAGTAATTGCATTGGTAAATTTAGGTTCCAGACAGACTTGAATAAGGAATGAAGGCAGCCTATGGTTTCCTGAATAGCCAGCAGAGTTGCTCCAAGAAAAGCCTCAAAGCTGAGGCTATGCTGATTAACTGTCCTCATGCATTTCTGTTATCATGACTTGGTAAATCTACAGCCCAAACTAAGGTGCCTAACATGGGAGATAAGCACAGAACCTGTAACCTTGTCTTTAAACCGTGAGATAGGAAGTACTAGTAAGTCTTATTTTCACAGGGAAAATTGCCAGGGGGTGGGTGTTTGGACCTGTGGCTTGTTAATATTCTGTAATTTACTTTGCATCATATGACATCACATTAAATAATGAGACTAAATTTCAGTGTTAGGTGAATAGTCACAACATGCAGAGAATTAAATAGAAATGCTCTTGCATCTCAAGATAAAAGTATCCAGAGTGCTTAAGAAGGGAATTAAAATTAAAAGAGAAGTTTAAGACAGATTTTAAAATTAATTCAAAAAAGAAGGACTAATGACGGCATAAAAATGGTGAATTATGACTCAGTGCAGTACAAATTATTTCACTGTAATACAGCCACAAACAATCTTAAAATCATTTCAGATTGATATTACAATTTTCACACCCTTACCTAGTATCAAATCCACGAACCACTGCACCCATTGATTTTGCTGCTCCTGCAGAAGCCAGGCCAGCAACCCCTCCTCCAATGATCAGTACCTAGAATGATAAATCTCATTAACCTGTCGTTTAAACAAGATAACTTAGGATAAAACCAAATTTACTTTGGCAGAGTTGCCCCATACATGCAACAATTTAAAAGCTGTAACTCCTAATTACACATATCTAAGAGCCAACTCCTCTGTAGCTAATAGATTATCTAAGTAAACACAGGTTTTCTCCTTGATTTATCATCCTTTTTTCCTTCCCTAATTCTACTTTCTTTTCTCTTCAATCCAATCCACCTGTAATTCCAATCTAGTAAACCTTTCCATTGCACTCTTCAATGCACCAGAAATACCAATCTCTCTGAATTTTCTTAACTGCTTCCTTACCTTCTCTTATTTTGAAAAAAATAAATCCAACCCCATATAGGTAATCTAATGTTTAAAACTGAGCAAACTTAAATAAAACTCAAATTATTCTATTATTCTCAAAACAAAACCAGAATGGATGTTAACAAAAAGGGGTATGAGAATAATTATAGCAATTCCTAAAGACTCTAGAAACAGCCTAAAGGCAGAAAAAGTCTTTTAACCTAGTTTCAGCAACAGCTACCTCTGCTTAGAAATTCACATATTCTTTTGCCATAGTATGTCTTTAATTGCACACACCTTCGCTGGAGGAACTTTACCAGCAGCTGTGATTTGACCCGTGAAAAATCGACCGAAGTGATTTGCTGCCAGGACCACAGCCTTGTAACTGTCAATCAAGGAATGAACACATATCAGTATTTTCTCAGATTCAGTAAAATTCCATTCATTACATCAACCTAAAAGATGAACATTTGACCAGAGCATGCGTAGGATAAAGAAAGCTTAGTATTTTACCATTGAATACAAGCTTAACAGTCTTTGTTTATATTTCTTACCTCTAATTTTTTTTAATTTTTTTTTTAACCCATGGATTGCATTCCCAGAAATAATTTTTGGACGACAGAATACAGGATGTCTACAACTATTCACTCTCACAAATAAAATTTTACCTGAAAAATAAATGCCTAACTTGCCAAAAGTTACCTCTGTGGTCCTTAAAATTACTTTCCAAGGCTATAAGCTGTGGCTTGTTATGGAAGTGAGCATGAACATGTAATTACAAAACCCAGAGTAATTCTGCAGCGGGCTCATTTAGACCAGCAAGGGCACATTCAAGAAAGGTATTCTGACCCAAAATTCACAGAGCTATATAGCTTAGGGCAAGTAGCTTAACCTTGCTACTTCATTTGACCTATCCAAGAATGGATAGCTAGACACCAGGTTAACACCAGTAGAGCTAACTGAAAATAAAGATTAATGTGTAATTTTGCCTTTTCTTAACAGGCCACATTTTCTTGCATTTTTACTGTTGTGGTTTAACAGTCCCATTCCACTCTTTTTCCTATCTCTAGCAGAGGGATATACAGGTCTATACACTATAAAATTAGCGCAAATTTGGAATACACCTTGTAAATTTTATACCCTCAAATACATTATGAATTTCTGTATTTTAGTAAAATTACACTGAACTAAAACATGGAGAATAAGTTAACATGTGGATGGATGTACACTGTTTGTGTGCACAAAATCTGACAGCCTTTGCAATGGTTTATTATGCCTCAGACATCATTTAAGTTTTTATTTTTCAGACTTTTTACTTAGAAAAAAAATAAAAGAAGCCAATAAAAGAAATATTGTACAATAACATTTTAATTCACTGCAATACCTAAAATGCTAGTTGCAAAGCATGGAGATGGTCTGACGATACTTGATCTTTTGTTTGTAACTGCCAGGGCAATTGCATTCACGCTGAGTGCTGTTTGGGTTAGTTAGCTCATAACAACACCAGATCCCCATGACAGACAATCTGTATTCAAGATAACCTAGTTCAGAGCAAAAAGGTACTAGACAAAACAGTCAAGGAATTACAAGGATTTTGTTCAGTTTTGTTTATTTTAAAAGCATTGTTTTGATCTGCTGCAAGGCTAACCCTAACAAACTTTAATATCACCTTGCTTGAAACAGCTCTGCAGGAAAATAGAGACATAGAATCCTTTCAGATATACCTAATATCAAAGCACATGATTTTAAACCAGCTGTACTTATTGAAGCTGAAGAAAAAACCCAAAACATACCCAGCAATGTTGGCCATGGAGCTAAGTGCATCATATCCCTGAGCAATGGTGACCCGTGGAACCTGATCCATAGCCAAGACAGTAGCCTTTTTTTCTGCAAGTTTTTTCAGGAGGTCTGGATTTTGTGCTGGGTAGATAAAGCTAATCAGGGTCGCTGCTGTCTTGAAAAGATCTGCCTCATGTACACCTAGAGATGAGTTATATATAGGAGCTCTCACCTGAAAAAACACAGAAGTTTCTAAGTTAATCAGAGGAAAGAAATCAGAACTCATTCCACTTCCTTTCTCCCTATCCATTCCCATAGAAAAAGGTACAAAAGGAAGAAAGTATATCAAAGGCTATTTACAAAACTGAACTGAGTAACTTCTCAGCTGCAGTCCCTATCACAGAACTGGCTGCAGGTAGATTAGTGACAGGGCAAAAATTGTCAGCACATACCTTCAGAAAGATCAGATATCTTCTAATTAGCAGTCTCTTGCTTTTATAATAGCCACCCTCAAACCCACCATTTTTAAGCAAAATGATTACTGAACAGATATGACAATTAAGCTCTACAAAGTAAGAAACACTAACTAGGTTGCAGTGCATGACTACATACAAGGCATTTCATGCCAGATGTCCAGCAGACACTGATCTTCATCTATATTCACTTCTGAGTTTCTCACTTATCTCCAAAGAAAAGCCTACATAAAAGGGTTGTTCACAAAGCAGCTCACAGAAATTCTATGTTCAATGCTGATGGGATAATTTTAAATTGAGCAACTGAAGGAAGCCTCAATAAGGTAAAGGTCTTTTTTTTTTCCTTTAAGACTCTGCACAACCTAAGACCTCTGAAGTAAGATTGCTTTTAGCTGTTTTCTCAAATTTTTAAACACACTTTTGCTGTGGATTTCAGAAAAGTTACAGAATCATATTTTCAAAATCCCAAACCACTCTATTAAAAGAGTAACTAGAGTTATATGTTACCAATTTTGGATAAAAGATTTCCTAGAGCAGGAATCTCTTCTGATTAGATTTCAGAACTAGTCTACCTCACTCTAGAAAACACAATTCTTATGTAGTTAAAAACTTGCTAAGAAATTATCCACATTTTTTTCAACACCGTCATTTACTATTTTTTTTAGTGTAGGTGCACATCTATTAAAAAAATTAAAAATTTGAATTAGAACTCAAAATTAAAAACACTAATTTAAAGGACCTTATTTACTGAACTTTCCACAGATTATCAGAAAAAAATTACCTATACATTTCTCCATAAACAATGTAATCAGAAATATATTAATAAAGCAATTACTTTCACAATCAAATCAGAAGCCAGAACTTCCTTGGTTCCCTGGATCTTTGCTCCAACTTCTCTGTAATGGTCATCAGAAAATTTGGAAGCTTCTCCAGCACCAGATTCCACCACAACATTAAAGCCTTGCTTAACCAAGGCTTGAACTCCAGCTGGTGACAGAGCCACTCTCTTCTCATTCTCAAATATCTCCTTGGGAACACCTACAGTCAGCTGTTTATAAGGAATTCCTGTAAGAGTGGCAGATAAGACAGCATTAGTTGTACTAAACACTAATTAATGATATAAGGGACACTCTTCAATGTTGTACAGACACATGCAGACATATGTTACAGTTAGCAATTCTCCCCCCTAAGGGAGGAGGAAGCAGAGTGCTATTTTCTAGGAACATCATTTACATTTCCTTAAATTACACCATCTTCCTAGAGATCCTTGTTCTCAGCAATCAGCAAGTGAGCACAATCAGCCACACAAGCAGTAACAAGTGTTTGGTGCAGTTCGTACCCATTTGCATTTACACAGTTCTGATTGCATAACTGGCAATTCTGATTTGCACAATACCTGGTGTACTGATGATAACACATTCTGCCTCAGGCCAGAATTTAAATGGCTTTCTTCAATAACACTTCCAGGTTATTGTGAAGAAAGAAATAAATGAGCTTGAAAGTGGAACTGCATTTTAACTGAATATGTTTGTAATATATATCAAATTACAGTTGTAATATACATTACAGTTTGTAATGTATATCAAATTATACCGAATCACTATTACTAAATGCAACATACGGACCACCAAGTACATTGAAAGGCGTATCTACATCAATAAGCTACTCTAAAAGTTGCCACAGAAATGAAAAATGTGAATTCAGAAGTAGTTGAAAAATAATGGAATATCCAGCTATTAGTTTCTTAAAAATATTTCTCTTCAAAGTTATTTCCTTGTCTCAACTTGTTCAAAGCTCCACTAAGTAACACCAGGAAACTGCAGAAATTTATTAAATCTATATTTTAGTTCAAGTTTTGAAATTACAAACATCTAACTTCATTTGAATACAATTTGGGGGCTTTCAGTCTCATATTTGTGAGGTAAACTTCTCTGATCCAAACAAGTGTTTAAATACATTATTTATGAATACACAGGCTCAAGCAGAATAATCATACATAAAACTATTACACTGCTTCAATTACACCAACAGCATGCAGTCCAACACATAGGCTGAATCCTGTACCAGCTTCCACTGACATCTATCCAGAATTTAAACCTGGATTGTGACATTACTATACAAGACATTGACATAACATGACTATTAATGAGCTATAATTTGAGCAGTCTCAGCAATCACTCATATTAATGATCAAGCAACAACAACAAAATCCACCAAAGGAACCTCAATCTTATAAAGGGGAGGAAGTGCATCACAGGCTCATTTAAAATTATGAATCTCTTTTTAAATTCCAATAATACTATGCTTTGTGCTGCAAAAATTTGTACCTGGCAAAAAAGGCAAATTTTAGGATGGCCTCCATTTGACTTTAAGACAGAAACAAGCAAAAAAAGCTAAAAACATATGTGAGAGCTTTGAGGAACTAGATTTAGATTTAAAATATCAAGATTAATTATCTATGAAATTGAACCTGGACTACAATGTGCTTAAAGTTGACAATTTGAAAATGTTTTCAGCTAGAAACTTTGAAGATACTGTCAACTTAATATGTTCTGAAAAATAAAACAGTACAGAGTTGCTATAAAGTGGTACTTAAATATCTACTTAAACTTCTCAGCCTATTAACTCATTAAAAAAAGAAACATCCAACAAGACACAACGAAAGCTCACCAGACAAAGAAGTCCATTACTTCTAATTGCTGCACCAGGGGAGGTTTTACTGAGCCACAGGAGGTTCAGGTTGGACATCAGGAAGAACTTCACTGAAAGCATGGTTAAGTACTGGAATGGGTTGCTAAATGGAGGTGGTCAAGCCACCATCACTGGAAGTGTTCAAGAAATAACTGGATGTGGCACTTAGGGCTATGGTTTAGTTGACAAGGTGATGGTATCCAGTCAAAGGTTGGATTTGATCTTAGAGGTCTTCTCCAACCTCAATGATTCTATGATTCTAATTACTTTAACGTTTTTTTTTTTATTTTAGCTTTGTCTTTGAAATTTGACTAATAAAATAGTAATAAATAATTCGAAGATGGAAGTGTTTTGATGTTCTATATGTTGGAGAACATTTGAAATGTTTTATTCACAAGACAACACTCAAATTCAGAAAAACATACATTAATAGAACATAAAGTCACAACAGGAGCAAAAATGCACATCTAAAACAACAGGTCCACAAAGGTAACAGAGCTTTGCAATGATTTGTTCCACCAGCATACACCAAATCTAAACATCACCGTGCAACTCGGGCCATACCTACCACAGCAGCACTAATCACTTGTTACCAGCTGTGGTAACTGTTGCTGTCTCTCAAATTACCCTTGTCATTTGAAGGGACTTTTCTCCTCATCTCTTCTAATTACTACACAATAAAGTCCTGCTTCTGATTTTCACTAAATCAACTCGGTGGAAATGAGTTCTCTTGTCTTTCAGAAGCAGGAATGAAACCTAGAAGATTGAAATTTGTTAGGATAGCAGAAACCAATCAGAATTTCAGAGAGGAAGTAGCTCTAGTAGGATAGGATGCAAAAAGCTTTTCAAAAAGCACTGAAAAAAGTTAAGAACTAGAGTCCTACCTTCCCTTTCTCATTTTGGAAGTTTTTGTAACACAAGAATGCTGAAGGGGAAGAAAGGAGGGGGGAAAACGCAGGGGAAAACAGGGGAAGGAAAAAAACAACAGGAAAAGGGGGAAGGAAAAGGGGAGGGGAAAGGAGGAGCAAATGGGGGAAGGACTCAATTATAGCATAAAGGAAATAGATAACTTCAAATTTAAAGGCACAAAGGTATTTGGCTAAAGCTTTTATTTTTCTCAAACAAATCTTCTTTTACCTCCTAAGGCTCAAATGACAATAGAATGCTTCTAATTTCCTTTTGCTCATTTGCTTCTGTGTGGAGTACCAGAATAGAAAGGTAAATGGCTAGGAGTAATAGGACAGAAATATATACCACTCACTAGATGCCAGATGTGTTTCTTCATTCCTTACTTCTTTCTTTACTGGTATATCTTGCATGCAATAAAAATTAGTACAGCTTTTTCAGATAGAAGTATTTGCACCTTATTTAGTAAATAGAATGACCACAGACCAGCACTGAGGAACTGCTCTTCTCCAGAGCTTTGGGAGATCAAATCCAAGATAAATATTCAGCAAGTCTCATTTGCCTCACCTACTTTTCTTCTCTGCCCCACTACCAAAACGCCAGTAAGCCATAAATACAAAAGCAAACTAATACATAAGAAAACTGTCAGTTTGCCAGCTTTTAGCTAGAGTAGGTATAGGACATTTTTCAAGTTGGCTGCTCTAAGCTTCCATATGATTCAGCGCCAAAATGGACCAGATATCTACAACTCAGAACCAAAGATCTATCTTAAAACTGCAGAACAGGTCTTGGGAAGAAAAGGTTGAAAAGCAAAACACTGGCAAGGAGGATTGCAAAGCTCCCTTTCAGCTGGAAATAACTCATGATAAGCCCACGTGAACAGAAGGTCTGTGATGATTTACTGGCCTGCATCTCCACTTGTTTTCCTCTTCCCCAGTGCCACTTCAGCAATACCCCGTTAGCGAAGTAATGGAAATAAATTTACCCTTTGGATTCCAGACATGAGTTTGTGGCTGTCCCAGCTGTCTGTCTGTGCTGACACACACAACAGAGTACTAATGATCAGTACTCTGTCTGGAGGAAGCTTTGTAATTAACACAGATTTGGTTTGTTGAATTGAGCAATTTCATCAAAGTCAAGCATTTCAAAAGGTTGAAACCTAGGGTTATAAATTTAGGATCTTGACTTAGGTTTTATTTTGAGGAAGTTCATCTACTATCCATGCCAGGGGTTTAAAGTTACATGAGAGTGTGAAGCCTACAAGTTGTCTCTCTAATCCTTCATGTCAGATAATCTCTTTAAGAACTGCCTTGAGTACGTTTAAGTGACTTACTGATTTACGACATCATGGACATCTTCCAAATACTGACTGATATACGCATACCTGGAGTACCTTTTTGAGTAATGAGGTTTCTTAATATATTGAGTAGAAGATACACAGTACTTAGATTCTGCCACTATCAGAAGCAGAATAATTAGATTTCACAGGACTTAGAATGGAATATACATCCCAGTGAAATGTTGTGGCATATACATAACTTAGAACTCTGAAAAACTAGTAAGAAGCCACTCTCTCATTCCCTTACCATAATCCTAACTTTGTAATGAACACATATTCAAACTTCAAGTAAACAAAACTATAACAGTGACTTTCTCGATGTAACTTCTATCTACAACAATCTTAGAGAAGATTCTAAGTCAAAACTGTAGCATAAAATACAGGCCTTTGATCTCCTTAAACTGACTTTGGGAAGTAGCCTGCAACAAAATAATATCAACCAATAGAGAGTGACTCAGAGAAAACATAAAGGAAAAATTTTGACTATATGCCACAGGTTTTGGGATTGAAAACAAGATGCCTATTTTCCACGTTACTCTAGCAACCTTTAAACAAAACATCTCACCTGTTCTGAAGATGAGGATATATTCCGAAGAACAGCAATATGATGTTGGCAAAAAGAAAAAAAAAATGGTACAGGAGATTAAATGAACACCTGATCCCTCCTATTACAGAAATAAGGAATAAAAAAATTTTTGAAGGAAATTAAAGGAGAATATTTCTTTTTTATAAGTACAATAAAGCTTACCTAGAGAACTAATTGAAAATGAACTGTTACAGGTTTAAAAAAAAAAAAAACCAGGAAATTTTAAGAAATAAGCATCAAAATAAGAAGGATATATAAATCCCAAAATAGAAAGGGGTAAAAGACACAGAGCTGTAGGACAAACTAATCTGGAAGTATGCTGTGAAGCTCAGAGTCAGTCACTCCATATGCACCTTTCCTAGGGCTTCAGAAAGTTTTGTATCTTCTTCTGAAACAGTTAGTCCTAGTGACTATCTGGCATAGATTATAGGAATACTTGTTTACACATGTATGAAAGTTCCTATGTTTCTAATAAGCAAGCAGCAGCTTAACAGCTGGCAGTAAGAAAATTATCCATGCTCCGAGTTTACTTTTCAGCTGACTCCATATTTCTTCTTCTCAAACAGCTATTACTCTTGTACATAACGTAGCCTGGATGGAATGAAAGCTAAACTGAGACAAGGAAAATAATAACTACAGCCTTAGGTAGAATCACTGTGACACTAGTCTCCAGAAAACTTACTCTTCTTAGTGATACAGTGATTTTACCAAGTGTTACTATAATCAAGCTAATTTCTGAAAGAATAAAACACGGTTATTTTGTATCTGTTACATTTTGATTCAAGAGCACTTAGAAAGAAAATACAAGCAATAGCCCTGCTTCTAATTTGTCATTAAATTGCTGTTTTATCCTTGATTTGTCCTCTACTGAATGACAAATCACGTGTTACCAAAGCGTACTACAAGGAGAGCTTAATTATCAACCAAAAGACTATCAAACTTGTAATTCTCTATATCAAATAACTGCATTTCTGAATACTATTAATCCTTAAATAAGGGCTTCCACACAACAGATTTGAAGGGGCAACACTGAATATTTAAACACATGACACTAAACAGAATTCTCCATCCTCACGGGAAGATTTTTCAAAAGTTATCCTGAAAAATGAGAAAATACACACACACAGAGTAGCAAAACAATTTCAGTAAAACAGAAGATATTCTTCAGTTTCATGATGAAATATGTGGTCAAAGTCAATTACAAAATTGATTCCAAACTCAAACAAGGACACTTACCTGGGATATTTGAGAAAGAACTTTGAACCTAGGTTCCTATGTTCCAGTTTATGCTCCCAACCAAGGGACAATCTGCCACATGAAGACTGACAGATGTCTCTTTCATTCATATATTTAAAACGGAAAAAAAAAAAACGGAAGTATCTCAAATTTATCAAAGAAATTCTGGTTTCACCACACAACTGTGATACAGATTTATCAGGAGCCCTCAGAGTAAAGAAACTTCCTCTCATGACATTTCTTCAAAAGTTCCAAAATCTTCAGTCCTTTCAAGTTGAAAGGACTACAAAATGCACCATTCTTTGTTAGTACTCCCACAAATTCTAGGCAACACAGGCTTCTCAGAGCTACTAGACGCTGCTTTTGTGTCCCATGTTTTCTCAATCAGACACTTCTGTTTCCAACAGCATTACTTTCCTAATACTCTCAAGTACCTAATGCAGTTACCTACTGTCTACATTTGGAAGAACCAAACATCATGTGTGCAATCAGTCCAACATGCCACATTAATCTTTTGCAGACTAAGACCCTACATTTGCACAGAAGCAGTCTCTAAATTCCAAAGGAAACATAACCAACCCATGCAGTAATAATGGGAAAAAATAGCATTAAACCTGCATTAGGTATTCTTCAGTCTTCCAACTGTCAGGTTATGTACAGCATAGAATAGAGGGAAAAAAAATTGTCAGTTTTGATCTTCATATAACAGGCTCATATTAGAAACTGGAAACAAGGGTGCCCTCTTTACCAGTTATTTTCCCTGAAAATACCTGAACTTGTCCATTATCTGCTAAAATGCAAATTATGGAAATTCACTAACAAACCCTACACAGGAAAATACAGATCAATAGTTTTTCAAAGTGATACAATGTACATGTTTCCTAACAAAGTTAAGATTTTTTCTCTTAGATGGGATAATAATGTCTACATATACTTACTCTAGCAGATGCTGTCTTTGTGAGGTCTGTATTTTTTCTCACATGCACATAAAGAGCTGCACTACCAAAACTCATGGGGACCTCAGGTTTTAACTAAGAAAAACATTTATTTAAATAGCTCCTTCGAGCAAAGAAAGTATTAGCAGGAGCTCAGGCCCTCTAACCACAAAAACTATGCGGATCCAAAGGATTCATAATAAACACAAGCACCTTGTGCATAAGCCCTATAAAGCCAGCCTAAAATTGTGCTACAACTGACTCAAGTATGCCGCAGACATGATTTAAGTGTTCTTTCTATTTTAAGTCTTTTCTGTACTAATGCAGATCTGAAAGAAAGAAGAAAAAAGAAAACATTTATATTCATGTTTTAAAATAAAGTATTATTTACAGCACTTTAATCTGTTTACCTGGCTTTGGAGCTGCCTGAGACCCAAGCACCTGGTGGGTTCTAAACATTCGCAAGCACAGCATCTTTGCGGAACGCATCCTCGGTGGGAGCACATTGCCAAAAACAGAAGCTGAGCACCCGCTGACAGCGACACGCAGAAGGCTCGCCATTGCACAACAAAAAACCTCACAACAAATTCCTTGCCACGTATGGAACCCCTACAGCAAATGTGAAAACAAATCAAGAGTTATTAATGACACTGCACAGAAGGCATGTAAACGCAGCAGGTTTAGGACCAGCCAACTGCCAGTAGCCACGAGACAATCATTCCTCACCACCTTTATCTTTCTGGCTAGAAAACAAAATCTCTTTTTTTTCCAAATTAAGTAAGACAGCTCTTAATCACAGCAAGTGGCTTGACCAGCCGACCTGGGGAATCGCATTTCTGCGACTTAGGGCCATTTTCTCTTTACACCGTTGCTTTAAAACAGGAACTGTGGTACGGGAAAACCGCGGTGCCCCAAGGCACCAAACAAACGACTCCAATCCCCGCCACAGCTCCTTCAGGAGTCACCCTGGGTGGGACACAAACTTGCAGGCTGTGAGGCTCAGCAGAGCACCCACTCGGGGCGGGACACGCCAGACAGCGGGCAGGGGAGCCGGGAATGTGCTCTTCGCCCGGAATCCCGCCGGGCCCCCGCGGCAGAGGCCCCTTCTCTCTCCCGCCGCTATTTATAGGCCCGGCCACCGAATGACCTTGGGCGGGAGGCTCGCCCCTCGTCCCCCGCCACGCACTGTCCCGCTCGGGGGACACCCCGCAGCCGCCACCTCCCCGCTCCGCTCCCGCGGGCCCCTTTCCGAGCCACCTGCCTCCTCCCGCGGGTCCGTCCTGCTACGCTCCCTCCCCTTCCTTCCCCCCGGCAGCGGGACACCGCTGCCTGTTCCCCACCAGCAGCTGGCCCCGCACCCACCGGGAGAACGAGGCGGTGCCGGCGCAGCCCCTCACGACGCGGCGCACAACCCCACACAGAGCCCCTCAGACGCTCCTCCCTCAGCCCCGCGCCGAGCTCCGCGCCGAGCCCCGCACACAGCCCCGCGCCGAGCCCCGCACACAGCCCCGCGCACAGCCCCGCACACAGTCCCGCACACAGCCCTGCACACGCACCGCCGCAGCCCCACACGACGCCGCGCTCACACCCGCGGTGCCGCCGCCGCGGCTCCGACCGACCTTGGGGCGGGGCGGGGGTGGGCCCGCGCCCGCCAACCCGGAAGGACTGAGGGGCACGCGGGGGTCGGGCGGCCGCGTCACTCGGCGTCTGAGGGGCGGCGGCGCGGGGTGCGCGGTCCCGGCCGAGCCCGCGGCGCCGGCAGCGGCAGAACGCGGTGACCGTGCCGGACCTCCCCTGGCTGGCTCGGCGGAGAGTAGAAGGTCGGGCCGGCGAGGAGACGTGCCGAAACGCGCGTGTTGGACGTGGGGCTAACGCCATAGCGCGTAGGTGATGTCTTCTTCATTATTGTTACTTCTTAAAATGCGTGATAAAGAAGCGAGGTGTCTGGTGGTAGGTGCGGTACGGGAACAGAAAACGGGGAGCTGTGTCAACTTCGGGCATTAGGAGGAATTTCTTCGCAGAAAGGGTGATCATATGCTGGGATGGGCTGCCTGAGTCTCCGTCGCTGGGGGTGTTTAAGGGAAGACTGAACGTGGCACTCGGTGCCATGGTCTGGTTGTCGTGGTGATGTTCGCTCGTAGGCTGGACTCGATGATCTCAGCGGTCTTTTCCAACTTAATCGATGTTGTGCTTCTGTGATTCTATAGCTGTTGAAATAATGCATGGCTGGATGAAGAGCACCTGGGGTTGGAGAGGCAATTCCAGAGGGCAGCAGCCACACTGCCCTTTGCCTCCATTATTGTCCTCACACGATCCTGAATGTTGTTTTACTTCACACGATCTGTGGGTTCCATGTATGAGTTAGGAATATTTTGGTTTGGGGTTTTTTTAAATTTACTTAAGTCTGTGTAGCTGCTCATGCAAACTACATGTTGCTGGAGGTGTCACACAGCTTCCAGACTTGTAAATGGTGACTTAGCAAGTCAAGTTAAGCGCTAGAAACACGAGAGTTACCTTGAGAGTAACTAATAAAATACTCCACTACTAAATGTTCATCACTGTGCATTTAAATAAGCTCGTGTGAAAGCTTTAGAGCTAGAGATTATACCTGTGCTTTATGTTTTGGGCTCAATAACCATTGACTTCTACAACAACATGCCTCATTAGTATGGTAGCAATTGGAATAATTCCAGCTATTAACAATAAATTACACTTCAAAAGCTAGAATCAGCCTTCTCCTTTTTTTCTGATTAGAAATACTTTATCAGCATTAAAAAGAAAAAAAATAGACCATGTAAAAATGCCTGTGTTCTGAATAGTGACAAGGTTATAGTGTGTGACTTCTCGGTACCAGGCACTGAAGGTGTGTGTGGATTTGGTTCTGAACTAAGTTTTAGATTATTAGGTAAGACACTAAGGACAAAGCAGGTATCTCCTAGTGGCTGCCTAGAAGTGTTCATAATTGTATTTGGGGAAGGTTTCAATCCATTTAATCATTGGATCTTTAGGTCTGTCTAGTCTAGTGATCTCATGGGTTCTGCTGTGTGGTCTCAGAAGCTTGAAGTAATTTAAGACTTCAGCTCCTCACGCCAAAACATTCTAAGCATAATGTTAAGCAGTCTAAAGGGGTGCACTGTTGTAGGTAGTATTTGAGGATTGTCATTTTGGAATTAACTACCTGATTATTTTTCTTAATTTTGTTTTAGGTGTCTACACTAGGAGAGGAAATTTGGTTCTCAAGCAAACACAACTACGTTAATGCAAACTTAAGTAGCTCATCTGTAAGAAAAATATGGATTTGGGATCACATTCTACTTTAAATGGTAAGTAGTTGTCAAATGGTCATTAAATTAATACAATATAAAATGTCTGTGAAGTGAAAAGAATTCACTTTTATGTCCAAAGCTGAAAACTTGTCTTTTTCAGTAACTTAAGGCATTCAATTCCTCTTAGGTGTATGCCTTAAAGAATGAGATTTGCTAACTTGAAAGATTGGCATATTCAAAAGTGATCCCAGTATATAATGATGGAGAATTTAATCTTTCATCTTCACATTAATGTAAGCTTTTCATTCTCCTCCTGGTTAGGCAAAGTCTACAGATGTGGACAGAGGTCACAATATAGGTATTAAAACTGGAGGTGAAATAACACAAGGACACTGAATATTTTTAATGTAGAAATTTAGAAGCTAATTTGTGATCTTTAAAGAACTGGTAATACTACTTAAATTAGTTTTGACAATGGTTTACACAAGTGAAGTATTATAATTTTTTTAAGACTCATTCAAAACATTCTGCATCAGCTCTCATTCCAGTTGCAGAGTATAGATTTATTAGTTTACCATTCTATATTTCCAGAAGGGTTGCCTAGAAACAGTTTCCCCATGAGCCTCATTAATTTTAACTTGTGACACCTTTAATGTCTGGCCACCTTTTTTATCTCGCCAAAAATCTGTCCAATTCATGCCTTGGGGAACTAAGAAATATTTTATACCCTACCCCTCCCCTGTTAATAATTGAAAATGGTAACATGTAATAATAAACCCAATAGGAACTTGACTTTTAAAGGCACCATTCTACAATCCAATTTTTTTTTTTTAATACAAGACAACACTATTCTGATTTTTTAAAATAATGTTTCATACATATTTTTTCCACTCCTTCATGAGTGGTGAACATTGACCCAAGGCCACACAATCTTTTGATTTTGTCTGTGGCAGGAACAAGTGGCAAGGGCAGCACATACCAGACTGTTCAGGGAGACAAAATATAAACTCCTTCAGCAGATCACACATGCCCTCCTCGTCTTGAAAGCTTATTGTGACACAGAGTTTGCAAAACAAGTAGAGCAAGACTTTGGACTGAAAATGAAGAAGAATAGATGAATTAAATTGTTAATGGACATGTGAGTTGAAGCATTCAGAGTTTATGTGATAAAATTAGGCATTGCATGACCATGTTCTGCAGTTGGTTCCTATTGGCATGGAAGGTGGTTGTTAAACATTAAATCGGAAGAGCATTTGTTATGTGTAAATTATACATGAAAATATATCGTTCTGAACAAATATCATTTTATTAAGTAGCCCTAACTGTACAATAATATGGAGGCTTAATTTTATGGGGTTAAATTTAGAATTTCGCCTGCAGCTTTTCCATCCCTTTCTGGTGGAAACAGCTATGTATGCACAGTGTGCCGTGATGCACCTGTGGCTGCAGCTCTTCCATTGTAGCTGAAGCCTTGGCCCTGCCATGGTCACCTCGCCCCGCTCGTTACCGTGGAGATGGAGGCGCAGGGAAGACGGTGCCTTTGGAAACGCTGTTTCCAGGCTGCCGCGGGCTCGGGGCGGGCGCGGCCATCGCGGCGCTGCGCGGGGGTGAAACCGAAAGTGCGGGGCCGGGGCGGGCCCGCGCTCCGCCCGCCCCCCGCGGCCGGCCCGCCCCGCTCCGCTCCGCTCCGCTCCTCCCTCCCATGAGCGCCCGAGCCGCCCGGCCTCAGCATGTCGGAGAGTTTCGACCGAACGCCGGGTGCCGGCCGGGGCCGCGGGTGCGGAGCGCCGGAGAGCGGCGGCGGGGCACGCCCCGTGGGCAGCGCGTCCCGCGGCTCGGGCTCGGCCGAGGAGCAGCAGCACCAGCCGGGCGGCCTCTTCCCGCAGCAGGAACCATTGCGGCCTCCGAAGACGGCGCCCCTGGGCACCGGGATGGCAGGTACGGGCTGCTGTCCCCGCTCTTTCTTTTCGCGGGGCTCCTCGCGGCGCCGCTGGGGCACCGGCAGCTGCCCTCGGGAGCGCGGTCCCGTTCCTGGGTGTGCGGTGCGGGCACCGCGCTGAGGCCGGGTCCGCGTGGTGAGCCCTGGGGGCCGCGGATACCTGGGTGACTGGGGAGGGGTAGGAGGAAGAAAACCAAAGAGAATCATGTGATGCGCGGTGCAGTCGCTCACCACCTGCTGACCGATGCCCAGCCTGTCCTCCAGCAACAATTGGCAACTCCTGGCCAACTCCCTTCCAGTTTATATATTGAACGTCACATTCTTGGTATGGATTATCCCTTTGGCTAGTTCGGGTCAGCTGTCCAGTCTTTGCTGCCTCCCCTCTTCTTATGCAGCTGCTCACC